AAATAATAGAATAAATTAGTAAATTATAAAACTATAATATTAAATTTAATATAGAACTAATCTCTATTTCTTTTATAAGGTTCAGAAAAGCTTTTTCTAAATAGAAAACTCTAATAATATATATATAATTAGTAATTTATAAGCCTAATACTTATAATATAAATAGTAGTTAGTTATAATATTAAAGGGCTATTAATTTCTCTAATTAATACTTGTAATATCTAAGATTTATTATATATTCTTAAGTTGTATATAATTCTATATATATTATAAGATTATAATAAATACTAGAAAGTAGTTTATTAATAAGAAGTTTATTTAGCTTATAAATATTATAGAAACTAAAATTAAAATCGTTTTTATAAAAGCTTATAATTTTATTAAAATTATAGAATATTATTATAGCCTAATTTAATATATTTATTTTATTATTATAGCGAAAATTAATAGAATTAATAAAAATATTATATTTTAAATAGCTTTTAAAACTATTAATAATTTTACTAAACCTAATAGTATTATTCTAATTCTTTTAATTTATAGTATTTTATTTTAAATAACTAAATATAATATTCTATTACTAATTATATTATAGTAATTAGAAATATTTAAGAAAATAATAGTAGAAATTTAAAAGCTTTAAGCTAGATACCAGATTATAAATATTCTAAATACCCGAAATACCCGAAATAGTTCTAATACTATTAATATTTATAAACTTCCTTTAAATTCGGATATTTTTATATAATATAAAAGAAATACTAATTAATCTAATAATTGGAATGGGCTATATAAGCTAATAGCTATTAATAAAGAGAACTATATATTAGTTCTATTATATAATAATATTATCTTTTATTTAATTTCTATAAAGCTTTTTTATATAAAAGATATTAAGGTTATTACTAATAGCCTCGAATCTAAAACTATTTTTAAATTTTATAATAAGACTAAAAGTAGTACAGGTATAATTCCTTTTATTATTTCTATTATTTTACTAAAATATAATAGAAAATACTTTTATAAGAACTCGAATTTTATAATATTTCTATAAAATAATAATTTATATAAGAACTCCTACTAAATTAAAATCGCTAGCCTTTTAGAAAAGAATATATTTAAGGTTATTTCTAGATTTCAAGTATTAAAGGAAATATATATCTTTAATTCCCGATTTATTAATAAAATTAAAATTAAAAATTTAAAAAGAAAATTTAAAAAATCGAGATTAGTTATCTAAGTTTATAATAATAGTAAGAAATATATAATATTAATATAATTATCTATTATTTAATATATTAGTTAGAGAATTATTTTTAGTATTATTATTATAATAATAATAAATATTATAAAATTATATTTATATAATATCTTATAAGCTTATATTTAATTAATAATTTTATTTAATTATAATTTTTATATTAATCTATTTTATAAGCTTACTAGAGAGCTAAATCTAAAGAATAATTCTATTCTAAAAGTTATAAAACTATTATATAATATACTAAAAGCTAGAAACTACTAGTTTAAAACTTACTATTTCTATTATATTAATAAGCTTTTTATAAAATAATTAATTTATAACTCTTACCTCTTCTATAATAAGTAATTCTTCGGAATTATTAGTATTTAAATTAATAATATTCTATTTATTAGAACTAATAATTTTATAAAAATAAAGTAATTAAAGCTTTAAAAAACTAAGTTCTTAACTAAGAAATATAAATACTTTACTTTTAACTATAATTTCAAATTTAATAAAAGTATTATCTATATAATATTACTAGAATTACTTTTATATAGAAATACTAATATAAAAACCTTTAAATTATTTCTATAAAAAATTATATTACTATAAATAGTAGAAATACTATTTATTAAGATCTCTTTATTAAGAACTAATATATTACCTAATATACTAGAGAAGTATATATTATATTAGTCTGTTAACTAGAAGCTTTATATAATTTATTAATTACTATTTAAACTATTAAATTCTCGGAAACTAATATAAAGGTATTTAATAAATATATTTAATAGTAAATTGAGAATATTACTAAAGAATTAAGATTTATAAAGCTAGTAAAAAAAATCTTTATATTTAATTATTTTTATAAATGCTTTATTTATAAATAATAGAAATCTCTTTTCCTAAATTAAATATATTCTAGTTCTAATAAACGAAACTAGATATACTAATATTATTTACTAGTTCTTTATTAAATATAAGAAAATTACTAGAAGTATTTTAGCTTCGGAATTTTATAATATGGCCTATAGTTTTAATATAGGCATTTTAGTTAAATCTATAATTAATAAAATATTAGAAATAGAACTATTATTAATAGTTTATATGAATTTGAAGTTCTTATATAAATGTCTTATTAAATTAGAAACTATTCGAGAGAAATATCTAATAATTAATATAATATATCTTTATTAAATATATAAATAATAAAAGATTATAGAAATTAAATAAATTAAGAGAGAATTAAATCCTGCCGATTCTATAATAAAATCGAAGCTAATAAATGCCCTCAAATACCTAATTAATACAAATATAATATAACTAAATATAGAGAAATAGATTAAATATAAATAAAATAGGAAATAGATATATAAAATAAAAAAATATTATAAAAAGAAAAGTTATATATAAAAGGCTATAGCCTTTAATATATAACTAAAATCTTATAAAGTAGTATAAATATATAAAGTATTTAGGAAAGCTAATACTAGGCCAAATTAGGGAATTTATATATAATTAGAAAAAAGTACTATTTTTCGTATTTTTAGAAAGATTCTAGTATTAGTATAATTATTTCTTTAGGAGTTATATATATAGTTATAGGATACGGGATACGAGATATAAGTAATGAAATATAAAATATAGAATATAGTTATATAATCTTATATTTTATAAATAACTCGATTAGTAAACTAGATCCTATTAGACTTAATAGATTTAGGAATTATATATTAATATTATAATCTGTAATATCTATTTCGAAATAATAATAACTTTACTAATCTTATATAAATAGTATTATATATTACTAGTAAACTAATAATAAATAATAAAAGATTATAAAAGTTAAATAAATTAAAAAAGGATTAAATTTTCTATTATTAAATACTTATAAGTATTTTATTAATATAAATATTATATAATTAAATATAGAAAAATAAAATAGAAAATAAATATATAAAATAAATAAAAATATATAAAGATTTCTTTAATAAAGATATTTAAATATTTATTATTAGACTAAATTAGAAAATTAGATATCTGGATATATAAATATCTAAATATCTAAATATTTAATATTAGGTCAAATTAGGGAATTAATATATAATTAGAAAGAAATATTATTTTTTATATTTTTAGAGAAATTCTAATAAAATATAAATAATAAAATATAAATAATAAAATATAAATAATAAAATATAAATAATAAAATATAAATAATAAAATATAAATAATAAGATATAGTTATATAATCTTGTATTTTATAAATAACTTAATTAATAGCTAGTTTTTATTAGAATTAATAGATTTAGAAATTATATATTAATTTATATAAATAATATTTTATATTTATATAATAATTATTATAGTTTAGGTTTTAATATTCTAGTTATCTAATATAATTATCTAATAGCTAGTATAAAAATATATATAGAGATATTTAGAATACTAGGCTCTTTAGAGGCTAGTATATTACAGGTATACTTTATTCTTATAGCTTCTTATATTCTAGTTTTCTTTTCTTTAGTTTTAAATTATTTTTATAAAAGATTTTTTATTTTACTTTTCAAGCCCTAAATATTATACCCGTAATAATAATATTATATATTCCTAATAAACTAATAATATCTTTATTAGAAAATATTTTAATTATATTATATAATTAAATAAAAAGTAATATAGAGCTTTTAAACTTTTTTAAAATAAAAAAATAAAGTATTTAATTTATTTATATTAAAAATAAATATAATATTTAGTAAATTATAGCTTTAGCTATTTAATAATTATAAGTAATAATAATTTTTTTTAAATATATAATTAATTTAATAATTTATTAGTTTTCAAAATATTATAATTTAGTTTTCTTTTCTTATTTAATATTTTTCTTTTTTTTAGTTTTATTTTACTAGCTCTTTTTAATATTTTAATTAAAATACTTTCTTAATATTTATTTACTTAGTACTTTTCATTTAAAAATCAAATTCTTTAATTAAAATTTAATTTATAATTCTTTAGCTAATAAAGCTAGTTTATTAATAATTTAGTAAAATATTATATTTTATAAGTTATTTTTCTTCTAAAATTATATTATTATTATATATTAAATAGCTTTATTAAGTTATTTATTAAAATCTTAAAGAAATATAAGAGATTTGAGTTTATATAAAAGTATTTATAATACTTTTATTCAAGGGCAAATATGTTTTTAATTAATTAAAATATATATATTTACTCTTATTTTTACCTGCACATTACTAGTTTTACGTGTTGGCGTCCCCCACCCGATTGGCGTGTTAAGCGGGAATTCAGGCGAGCTTGGCCGAGCGAGTAGCTTTCGACATCAATTCGTGGCTTGAGAGGCTGTGCGAAACTGTCCAGAGCTGATGCACCACGTGGATCATAGCTTCTCCGGAGTTCTGCCTGGTGAGGCTGAGCTGAGACGGCTACCATTATGCTCAACCTGAAATCCAAACAAACACCGCAAGGGATCCATGGACATAGGTTGAAGATCTGAAAGCACCTCCACGCACCCGAATTATCGTATTCTCACAAGCGGTGTAATCGACATAATGATAGATCCAATGAGTACTCTATCGATAGCTGCTGGTGTGGTCCAATTTGTGGACTTTGGGAAGCATCTCTTATCTGCCTCGTACGAAATCTATCGATCCCCCTCTGGTGAAACGTCCAAGGAAGTTGAATTCTCAACCATAGCGAAAGACTTGACGGCCTTGATTACTCAAATCAAGGACCGAGTCGGGAAGCTGCCGCGTGGTGAGGGGCACAATACGGCTGCCCAATATCAACTGGTTAAAATCAGCGAGGAATGCGAAGAGATCTTCACCCAGTTCCAAGAAGCACTGTACCAGCTGGAAAAGCGAGATTTGCTCTCGGGAAGGGAGGGAAAGCAGAAGGAGCATCCGAAGTCTAGGCTGAAGATGGCGCGGGGTAACATACGAAGGGCACTGGGAAGTGTATGGAACGCCCCGAAGACAGACAGCATGATTAAAAAGTTGGAGAAGACCAAGGGTCGTATGATGACTGCGACACTGTTTTGTCTTTGGTAAAAACCACTCATAGCACCAAGTTTGCCTCCGTGACTGACGGACTTACGGGGACGAATCGAAGCGAAGCGAGCAACGAGATATCAAATTCGGCGAAAGGCTGGACGATATGATTGACATGCTTAGACGGCTTGATGAACGAGTGGATAAGACTCCGCGTGGACCGATGAATGAGCCCCAAAGTAAAAGCTATAACAGTTCCATGTTGGACGCTGGGAGCAAATCAATCACAGAAACTGTAATCGAGGCATTGAATGATGGGAGGTCCCCAGAGACTATACGCATTCATGAGGAATTGGTCGACTGCCTATGGAATCAACAGCAGCGTCCAGGACAACGTAATTGGAACGAGGGAGAGCCAGAAGGTCGAACCGGACTATCAGAGAAGATCAAAACCTCGTTTCAAAAAGCCATCGTCCACAGTCTTGTTTTTGAAACCATCCAAGGACGAGAAGGAGCCATTCCCAAGGCTTTTGAGAGAACTTATTCCTGGATTTTTCAAAGAGAGCCTGGAGAACTCGATGGCAAACAGCTTTGGTCGAGCTTCCCGGATTGGTTGGAAAACTCCACAGATCAGCCATACTGGATAACTGGAAAGCCCGGATCAGGTAAATCAACATTGATGAAGTACATTCTTCAGCATCGTTTGTTGAAGCCACACTTGCAAAAATGGGCAGATAATTTTGCTTTGTTGATCACAAGTTACTACGCTTGGGTCGCCGGATCTGATCTCCAGAAATCTTGTGAAGGTCTTGTGAGAACTCTCTTGTACCAAGTCTTACAATTAAATCCGTCGTTGGTTCCGGAAGTCGCTCCCAGGCGCTGGTCATTATTCCTAACTCTCCGGAGAGTCACGAAGATGCCACCGTGGCAACGGTGGGAGTTAGAAGAATCGTTTGAAGTTCTTCTCTCGAAGTGTGGCAGAACAATGAGGCTTGCCCTCTTCATCGATGGACTCGACGAATTTGAATCACCACCACTCCAAGTTCTAGAATTGATCCAGCATATCAATGACAGGAACGGAATAAAAGTTTGTGTTGCCAGTCGACAATGGACTGAGTTCAATGATGCCTTCAATCTGAATCCAATGCTTCGCATGCAGGAGCTTACAACTGCAGATATGGCTCATTTCGTTGGGGTCAAGTTCGAGGGCAATAGGGGCTTCCTGGAACTAAAGACCATATTTCCTACCGAGACTGCCCGTCTTGTTGGAGATGTAGTGAGAAAGGCAGACGGGGTATTCCTCTGGGTATCTTTGGTGGTAAAGTCACTGCTTGAGGCTCTCACAGAAGGCGATGGGTTGGTAGAACTCCAGGAAACTGTAGACCAACTTCCTATCGACATAGCACAGCTCTATGATGCTATTTTGTCTCGAATAAGCAGCCGCAACGTCACAGCATCCTCAAAACTACTTGTCACATTTAAGACCGCTGTAGGGCCGCTCAGCTATCTGACGCTGTGGCTATCTGACGAAAAGCAGTCCCTGAATTGCGACATCAATTCTCTTTTTCCACATGCCAGAAGTGGCATTGTGGACATCATGAAACGGCGATTGGACAGTAAGACTCGGGGTATTCTGGAAATCTCACCGGACGGAACAGTCAATTTTCTTCATCGAACTGCGAGAGACTGGGCATTGCAACCTTCAGTATGGGAAGGCATCTGCTCCAGGTTACCGGAAGGGTTCGATCCGTATCTCCTGCTCCTCAGAGCAGAAACTATCAGATTACCAGAGAAGGCCAATCTGCGTAGCAACAGCATGGGACTATCATGGGACATGCTCAACAAGTCAATATGGTACGCGTCGCAGGTTGAGGATTCGCCAACAAATGCCTCTGAACTTGTGCGGGTCCTTAGCAAGCTGAACAGTGAAGCTAGCGACATTGCAGAGCCATACTTGCAACACGAAGGATCTGTAATGAGTTTTTATTGGCCATCCACCCAGGAAGCCACTCAGGGGATTCGTGCTCGGGGAAATACGTTTCTTGGACTTATGTCGCAATTCTGCGTTCTGCCATACTTGAAAGTGAAGCTTGAGCCGGAACAAAACGCTACCAAACTCAAACTAAGAAAGAACTGTACCTCACTCCTGGAGAATGCTGTATTTGGCTATCCTGGCATCAACGATCCCTCAGTTTCAAGTTCGTATCGTATTTCGTCTAGCCAGAGGCTTGAGACCGTGTCTTTTCTGTTGGAAAGAGGTTTTTCTCCTAAGGAAGTTATGCTTAACGGCAACGTGATCATTAACGAAGTGCGAAAGAGGAGGGAGAAGGAGAGATACTCGGAATCGAGGGAATATTGGGCCGAGGTTGAGAAACTTCTGGGTGCGAGACTTGGGTCGAAGTGGCGCCTCAAGTCTCTCTTTGGGCGCAAAAATGATTCATAAATCTAATCCAAACATGTTAATTAACGGGCGAAAATGCTTCTTATCCACAGGAATAACTTTTCGAATTGTCTTCTTTGGCTTACGTATGACTTTGTTCCCAGAAATGCCAAGTATATCAGACCCGTCCAAAAGATACCAACCAGATCGAGTAGCTTTCGACCAGTAGCTTCGTGCCCAAGTTTTATGTTGCAGTACGTATCCTACTTCCCTCCGATTAAGCGTTCTAACAGTCAGCCCATAGACTGTCTGTCTGCAGGTCCGGTTAGTAGAGTGCGACTACGAAAATCCCTTGGGGTTGCATCTCGAAATTTTAACTGGTCGGTATTTGCCCTCGATATCATAGAAGCTTATTTCGTATACAGTATTTGAGTGACGTCCTTCATTGGAATTTCAGCGAGAAGATACAGAGCCTCCCCTGAAAAAAATCCACTTATGGTAATCAAATCGTTCTCATTGCCTGCCAGGGCCTTTGCAAGGTGCGACTGTAAGACAGACAATTTTGGAGTTTTATTTTTCGTAGGTCCGATCTGTTATTGTACCAGATATTGATCCATACACATCAAAGCTCAGATTTTGGCTTATTAACCTTCACCCACGCCCATATGTTTAATCCAGTCTTCATCCTCGGGGTTACTGGAGGCTCCTCTTGCAAAGTCGCTTTATGTCCCTGCACATCAGGATGAAGATTCTTCCAAAAGAGAGCATTCCCCGTAATCGGTTAAAACGTGATTCTAGCGTCATAAGGTTGATCACAATCAATGAATCGCACCACTTTCTTCCTCCGGCGCCTTCAATCGAGGAAAGTTCGTTCCGCCTCCAGTGCAGTTTGTTTGGATGTAGACGAAGAAAGTAGATTCGATATTGCCGTCCGGATATGGTCCGTCAGAAAACCAACAATAGTGATCTCTGTATTGGTTCGATACTCCGTATCGCTGCACTAACGGTTTAATGAGTCCAGGGGAGTCGTAGGCGGGGAAGGACCGAGCACGTTCTTCGATGCAGCGAACAAGTTCCTGACGCTCCAGGGATGCAGTACGTGAGGACCGGTGGATGGAATCGACTGTAGACTTCCCATCATCTGACCAGAGCAGTGATGGTTTGAACTTACTTTCACTCTGGTCCTATTGGAGAATCCCATGATCACAGCCAGGCACACTCGAGTCTCGGCTTTGCGCTCAAGCACACCGCTGTGCCGTCACGGGCCGAACCTTAGTTACTTTCATGGCAGGGTCAGTGTTACAATCTGTCTGACACCTTGCCATGCCGTGTTCCATGGCAACACGACTGCTATGCCAGCTGAGATCACTTCTCATATTATCAAGGATGCAATGGCAGACACTCACCCATTGCCGATGGGCGGCGGGATAAGCATGCGGGGGCTCACCACGCAGTGGGTTCTGTATCGCGCGCCCTACGCTAATCCATACCCAGCTGCCGCGAAGCACAGAACGGCATCAATCCACCTCAACATTGGCGAAGCCCTCTCCTTCAACGACCTCCAGACCCTGGCTGCTTTCTCGCTGTTCTGCGCAATATTCGGTCTCTCGCCCCCCCGTCGAAACTCTCACCCAGCCTCTTCATCTCCAATCCATCCACATTCTAGTCGGCGTCTATATCCGCTCTATAAAGTTGTTTCATCAAGTGTACTTCGAATGATTGCTGCGTAAGTAAACTTCTGTGGGTCTAACTGCGAAGCTTTACCTGTCAGCGCGTCTCCACCTTCAGCTGCTGGGCTGCACAGAAAGTCCATCACCAACCACCCCCTCCATCCACAATCCCAGTGGCTGTGAGAAGCCCCCAGGCTTTGAGTTTACATCTAAACAAGCGTCATGGGCGTCAATCCCTACTGCTCTCATTCCTGCGTTCTCCTCACTCCGCAAAGTGGCGGCCGGGGGATTTTCCTCCAATCAGAAGCGTTTTTACCCTTGAAGTCGAGAAGACTTCCAATGCTGATGCAACAATTACCCGTTTATTTATAGTTATCAATCCGAACAGTATAAAAAGCCATTTTCCCTCCGGGTGCATTTTTCCTGCTCCAAGACGTTTCCTTTTCTTGCTTTCCACGATGAGGTTCCTCCATATTTCAGTAGCAACACTTTTGCATCTGGTAGCGAATGCCACAGCCCAAGCACCACCACCAACAGCCAAAACTCTCAACGGCACATATCAAGGCAAATATCTCACAGGATGGGACCAGAATGTCTTCCTCGGCCTCCCTTACGCTCAACCTCCAATCGGCCAGCTGCGCTACCGCTGGCCTCAGAGCATAAACACATCCTTCTCCGACATCCACGATGCGTCTACCTACGGCTACAGCTGCATGCAATACCACACCGCCTTCAACATATCCGAGGACTGCCTGAGTCTGAATGTCATTCGGCCATCTGAAAGAAACTCAACGAATCAAAAGCAAGAACTTCTCCCTGTCCTGGTTTGGATTTTTGGCGGCGGCTTGTATACAGGCTCCACAGCTGACCCACAGTACAATCTCTCGGGAATCGTAAAGGTCAGCCAAGACATGGGGAAACCCATAATCGCCGTATCAATGAACTACCGCCTCAACATGTACGGATTCCTCCAAACACCTGCTCTCCTGGCAGAAGGAAGCAGCAATGCCGGCTTCCTAGACCAGCGAATGGCATTGCGATGGATCCAAGAGAACATCCAAGCATTTGGCGGCGATCCCAAGCGCGTGGTGATCTGGGGCGAGAGCGCCGGCGCGCAGAGCATTGCGTACCATCTCTTCAGCTATGACGGACGGGACGATCGCCTGTTTCGCGCAGCGATTATGGAAAGTAACCAACCTATTCCTTTGTCCTATAACCCAAGCTCCTTATCTCACTGGTCGGGAGGACGTTTCATGCTCCCGGCTCGCTCCCGGCTCTTCCCTCCCTAAAGAAATACGTTGCTTATTCGTCGCTAGGCGGTGGACCGACGGGGGCACAGGTGCAAGATCTATCGTACTACTCCCCGCCAGTCGAAAACCTTACCCGAACCGTAGGCTGCTGGACTGCTTCAAACCAGCTCGCGTGTCTCAGGAATCTCAACTCTTCGACCCTTTTCGCAGCAGCTCCAAGCCAAGTCTGGAATCCGATCATCGATGGCGATTTCCTGACCGGATATCCAAGCCAGCTTATCCGAGATGGGAAGTTCAACGCCGTGCCCCTTTTGATCGGGGCGAATACAGATGAAGGAACGAGCTTCAGTATCTCTTCCCCAGTGCCCAACACAGAGACCGACCTTTTCAATGGTTTGATGTTCTGGCGTTCCTACGCCCTTTCGCCACCCACAATCCGCAAACTGTTCGAACTGTATCCCAACGATCCATGCCACGAGCCACCGTATGAAATAACAAACTGCTCCGTGTTCCCATCTAAAGGTCTGCAATGGCGGCGTGGAGCCGCGATTGGAGGCGACATGGTGATGGTCTCCGGCCGCCGCAAGATGTGTGAACTCTACTCCCAGGCGGGGAAGGACGTGTACAGTTACCGCTTTGACACGGTGCTGTACGGCAAGACTGCGTTACAAGGGGTTGAACACTTTGACAATGTAGCGTTTAGTTTCCAGAATATTTCAGGCTTGTTGGGACCGAGCCCCAAGTATGATGCAGGTTTGCGGCTTGCGAGGGCGATTGCGGATGCGTATGTGAGGTTTGTGTATAGTTTGGACCCGAACCCCGAGAAGGAGGCAAATCTGTCGAGTATTGGGGCTTTGACGTTGCCCTACTGGCCAAAATATGACGTTAGGAACCCGGTGAATATGGTTCTTAATGCGACCGGGCCGTTCATCGAGCCAGATACGTTTAGGAAGGATGGAATTGAGTTTCTGAATACATTTGAGGTAGCGAGGGAGTTGTTGGCGTGAGGGGAAAGGCTTTTCACACCTTTAACGGTTCTCTTATTCTATCTCTTGGAGTCGAGTAACGCCACTGTCTTGCCCATACATAATTGGGTAAAACAAAGAGGTTGAGCCTTTAGGCAAAGCGGACACAAATGTTCCTATTCGTCTGATAATAGCAATAATGGTAGTGACAACAGATACATCAAACGATAATTTTGAATATGTTCAGGGTGAATGCTTTGTTCTCGTGTTAGTATAATTGACTTTGGACGAAGACGTGAAAGAGAGAAATGAAAGAAATGGCTCAGGAAGTTACGGGGGGTTTTGGGGATGGAAGTCCTCCAGACATTTGCCAAGTCAGTTGAGTTGCGGAACATGCTGTGGCGAGGCGTATGGAGTGGCTTATACCTATGTTTAGTGGGTGTTGAGGGGAAGTGAGGAAAGTTGATGTTTTTTGGACGGAAGTGGGGCTGTGTCGCGGACCAGAGTCCGGTGTATATCTATATCGATGGTTGTCTGGGGGAACGCTAATCAAACATCATTACAGAGGGGGTTCCTGCAATGCACCGATGACCCAGTCTTAAAGTTGCGCTCGGGAATCGTATTAAAAGTAATGCTGAAGTTTCTGCGTTGCTTAAATTCATATAGACTTTAGAATGCAGAAATTTAGAGCTTAGTCTTGGTGACGTTCCCCTTGGAAAGCTATCGCTGTACAGAATTTTAAATTGCTAGATTTCGAGCCTAGCTCACTCCAGAAATTACGTACAACCGATTGAAGGCAGCTAATGGGCAACAAACTAATTCTTCCTCCAGCCAAGACAATATATATGAGTATTGTTACACTAGTCCTCCAACCAGCATCTTACTCCTTTGGCTGTGAGCATGCTTCACATCTTCCCTTGTCGTTGATCGAATCCCGGTCTCGGACACAAGTTATTCGGATCTGTTTGTTGACAGTGGCGGTGAAAGTGATAGCAGAGACTTCCAGCGATAATGGCAGATTTTGGGATTCTTGTCCTTTGTTCCAAGGTACAATCCGCCGTTGAAGTAGTTATCAAAAAAGGGCTGTTGGTTGGGGGGCTGGGGAGCGAGTGGAGCGACGGGCGAGAGAGCGAGAATCACCCTCTTGAAAATTGATGATGTTACAGAATTCTGGGTGGTACTTCTAGGTATGAGATAAGGTATATATTTGATTGGATAGTGAGATAGGGGATTCATCGGGTGCAGCTTCGGTACTGAGGATAGCGCTTGGAAAATGTGTGTATAATAAAGATGCACTTGCCATTGTGCAAGCGTCTACTAAACGACCTCTTTGCCTTCTATTGGGGGTCTGGATTTAGGATCTTGGAATATCAAGGAAGTTGAGATTGCGCACATCCCGGCCCCAGAGCCAATTTTAATTGAATCGTGATTTGGACGGCTGCATGCAACCATGATACAGTAACGAAGTCTACATTCATCACGTCGTCTGAGAATGAGAACAAAATTAACCTTGACAACAAACTCAGCGCTCTCAAGAGAAATCCAGAATCCCAAGACTGAGAGATGCTCACAGTCACAGGGAATGGGAGAGACACGACCATAATTGGTACCTCACTGAGGATTTCCTGATCCCTGATAACATGCACTGCTGAGCGTACATCAGTTCCAAATGTTTCTCGGTAGGCTGCTTGTTTGGCTTAGAGTGAGAAGTCTCCAGAAATGTGGCTTTATATAACAAAATAGAGGCGGCTGTGAGGTGCTTTGAGTGAAGTCCAAAGGATTCAAAGATCGGAGCGGGGTGGGGAGGAACTGTTATTTGGCAATTGCTAGTAATATACTGAAGCGCTCGGCTGTGACACGATACCATGATCGAGAAGGTGAATTAGAATCATGTCCGTGAAATTGCATTCGGAATGAATCTCCAAGCGGATGACTTGAGCCTTTGCCTACGAGTTGAAAAAGACCTTCCCAGCCCTCGTTGGCGATGACTGATGCTAGCACTAGAATGGCAATCGCTGCATCCGAACTCGATCCAAGATCAGGAAGGCGTGCAATGTAATTTTTTTGGGGGGGAAGTTGTACAGCAGAACCTCGCTATAACGATCCCTCGATATAACGATTGGTCCGTGCACCCCATACAAAAACCTCGCAGTATCGTTAGATATTTTCGGTCCCAAACCCCTGTCACCACCAAAAGTTAACGATAACCTCGCAATATCGTTAAATATTCTCGGTCCCGAGGCAATCGTTATAGCGAGGTTCTGCTGTAGTTGAGAAAAGATGCAAATTTAAATTTTGGACAGCTGGTGTTGAGCACAGGCTTGGCAGAAATACCTAATTTCCGGTATCGATACGTATCGATGCCAGAATCGTAAGGTATCGATACTATTAATAAAGTATCGATTCCCAGAACCCAATCCCTCCCTTTAATTGCAATTAACTTTAGAACCACTTCTCTTATAAGAAAACTTTTGGTAGCGCAAATATTCTACTTATCTTATACTTTAGACTAAAATTCATCTCAATACGGCTGTTTTAAGCAAAAATAAGCTTTTGAGATTTTCGTGAGGCTCGCTTATAATAAGCGTCCCGATAAGAAATACGAATACGAGGGCTATTTTAAATTTAAGATATTATTAACTTTTATTAATAATAGTAAGTAATTCTTTTTATAGAAAGACTAGAAATTAAAGGAATTATATATAAATGTTTTATTATATAAATTAAATAATAAAAGACAGAGATAATTTAAGGGGTAAGAATTGATTCGGTATTGATACATATCGATTCTTGCGATACCTTACTAATACTATCCAGTATCAATACCTTATCGATACCAAAAGTATTTTTGCCAAGCCTGGTTGAGCATCTAGACAGCTAAGGAAAAATTACTCGCCCACAGGATAGCTAAATAAAAGGAGAAGAAGAAGATATAACGGATATAGAAGTTATTAATGGTGATAATAGAAGTACACAAGCACAAGACGAGGATCTCAATGGGAGGATCGCGGAAGAAGATGGTCTCGTTGAGGATGGCGAGGAGTTGGCATAGAGGATGCTTGATTCTGGTCAACATGTTTTTGGCCTCAAAGGAACAATTATCATAGAGTTGCTTCGGTATGTAGGCTCAGGCTACTTGAGACTGTGTACACTCAACGGTTCCATGTTCCACAGTGGAAGCTCTAGCAGCCTAGTGACCTCACCGTCAGCGCTGGAATCCCAGCCCCTAGAGGAGCCCTTCAGCTGTTTACAAAAGCAGGTTCGGAGTGCATAAGTAATGGGCTGCTCGATACTGTTCAATCTGCCTTTTCTGCTCAGGGAAGTGGATAGGATAATAAGCCCCCATACCCCAGGGCGAGTTTCGACCGCGTAATAGGCGGAGCTTCGGGGGAAGGACGTAGTCTCTGAATAAGTTTTAAAGGGTGTGATTACCCAGTGTCGAGAAATTTTGAGCAAAAGTTTCATTCTGCGATAAAGCAGGAGACTTTGAGGGATATCAAGGAAGTCACAAGGCTGATGCCAAGAAATTTGCCCTTCGAGGATAAAGGAACGGGAAGCATCGCAGTGAGAAATTAGAGCTAGAACACCACAACCTATCAAGTCATTATGTGTGATGAGAGACAAGGCTGTAAAGATATATGACCACAGTTCATTCCTCGAGTTCTTGGCCTCTGCACGTAAGTGAAACGTTGAACTTGTTCCAAGAGATGGATTGGCCGAGGCAGAGGTAGCTTTAGACCAACTTCAACACTATGGCAACGAGACTAGACATGGTAACAAATCGATACAAGCTTTATACACTTTCTCGAATCTGCCTTGACCCCGCCAGGGCTGCATAATCAGCCATCAAGAGCTGCTTTGTTTCCAATGCAAAAAAACCCTTGTCCTGATCGAACCATCAGGGCTGGATTCTATCTCTAACCCGAAAAGACTCGGGGTTCTCTTTGGGGGCACGTGGCGGGAGCACCCACGGGTATCTTTTCCCGTCAAATGAATACCTATGGTGGGAACTTCCCACAAATAGGAAAAGCTTCTCCCCTGGAGTAAGCGAGGTCCAGGGGAAGATTCAATTCGTCTTTCGCGCTTTTCGCAACGTTAATATATCCAATCCCACGTTTCTTAGGATATCTGATAGCCAACAAGTACTCAGATACTCATATAAAATTGACGCAAATCCAAGATTCGGCCTCAATAGCCACGAAAGAAACTTGCCGGATCTTAAGTCCGTGGGACCTAGTTGAAAGTTGAAAATTGTTAGTCGGTTTCTAGAAGGTTAAGCCCCTGAAGCAGATGAGTGGAGTGGCTTGACGGCCAAGACACATGAAAGTGGTGAGCCCGTGAGCGTGTTTCCAAAGGCAGAGAAATGAGTAGACCTGGCCTCTCCAAGTCCACCTCAGTTTTTAAAACAGAGTAGTTTCTGCTCTAATCTAAGCTAAGGCTAAGTAACCCTAAGCAACCCCTAATTCACCGTAAGAATTCTAAGAAGAATCCGTTTTTGGGCTCGCTTCGAGTCTACTTCGGCTTGGCCACAGTCAGGTATACTCTTCTTATTAACTTTTACTAAGTGCCTTTCAGCCTTCCTTGAGAAGGGATAGGATTAAGGTAGTAGATAGTAAATAATGCTCTTACTACTGTCAATTGAAATAAGTCTAAGGGTCGTCTTTTAAAGTTTATTTTAGATTCTATTTAAGCAGATTATATTCGTCAGACTACTTGGTAGAAAACTCATACCTTTGAGATTAAATACGAGAAACGAACAGCTATTAATCCTCTAGAAATGACCTTTGGATTTCTGCCAACTTTTCTATCTTCATTTCAATCTAGGCACTTATCCATAAACCAGCCGATGGCAAGCGATCACGACCTCTTCCCCTGAATCTCGCAGCCCTCCAGATTGCCACTCATTAACGTCTGCAATATGTCTGGCATTCAAGCTCTACATCCCCCACTTCTTTACGAAGCTATCGGGTGTGAATTTGTTGTTCCCAGCTGCAGGAACACCATCAAAACTGCCGCGTATCTGGTTTTTGGATTAGAAATATTCAAAGTCATTGAAGAGAACTTACGCTGCAGTAGCAGCCAAAGTTTCAAACGGTTTAGCAACTGTCGTATATGATACCAAACCCAAAAAGAAGAGCATACAAGCAGTAATAGTCCCAAGTTTCACATTGGCATCCTTCAAGCTCCACAAAATCCACATCGGAGCAATCAGCATCACAGTGCCAATCGTGATGATGATAACCGTCATCAAGCGGTCAATCTTTCTATCTGAAACATAGAAAATTTCCTCCCTATCATAGAGCGGTAGCTGTGGTACTTTTTCCTGCCTCCAAAGCCAATGCATCTTGAAGCTTCTCGACTTATCCACCAGACGCCTTAATGGAGTTTTGATCCGTGGAACTAAGCTGAATAAATCGTGCACATGTGTTAAGTATTGCTGTTCTTCTTTGGATATGGCGCAATGGCTATGGTTCCAATGCCAGTTTGATATGTTTTCTACGTCGTGCTCGCTTGGTGGGGGGAACTTTCTCAGTTCTACCTGCTGGAGCATGAACGCATCTGGCAGTCTTGTGTCAGAAAGAGCCATTTTATAACCTCAACTACAACACGTAAAGGCAGCAAGAAACACAGGGACACTCACTGTACTCTAGCAAAGCGTTGTGCAACTGATTCATCACCTTTTCACGGTCCGGTTGTTCAATCCGGAAAGATCCATTTTGGACGTCCTTCGCCTCCCTTCGAGCAAAGTTCCCATCTAGCTTGGATAATTCCTCCTCTAGTACCACAACGTTATCTTGTAGCTTCAGTGCAATACGTGCACTCGTAGCACCGAACCGTCGGAAGATAAGTAAGTCCGTCTCGGATGCCAGGAAGGAGGAATATCCTGGATAGCCAATAAATTTCCAAGGTTTTGCATCCACTTCTTTCTGTGTGAGTATTTGACTCTCTATTGGAAGCTGATGTGTTGTAATATGCGTCGTGCCGTCACCAGTAATCGAGAGTGATTGAGTCTCCAGCATCCCTTCGGCCGGTGTTGATGGCGTTATTTCCATCCCTCCTACTCGAGTTGAAGTAGAACCCATATTTATCTCGTACAATATGGTGAAGATGGTGAAGCAGGAGTTTAAAATTTTTATAGCTGTATTGTTGTCTGCTACGCAGAGCTGCACCAGCACAATTAGCACGTTGGTGGTTTTCACGAACAAGTCGGGCGTTGCTCAGCCTCTCTGCAGCGCCAACGCATCACTGGCATTCCGAGATGACTTATTTGGAGCGACTTTTGCCGCATCGCTTCTGAAGCACAAATATCCTTGTTTCCTTCCTCACTCCACCATTTCTCTCTTAATTTCTGGTTTTATGTCAAACCAACCTTCAAGCAACAGGGCAACAACTCCCAGCAACGCCACATCACCAGTGTCGAGGATTTGAGTCAAATCGGCGGTGACATTTACGCGTATACGAACCAAGTATCATTTTAGATACTCGATCCAGATCACGAATCAGAAATTCATTGAATTACACTGTGTCCAAGTTCGATTCCAATTTTCGCGAGCCGGAAGCACAACTCGGCAATCTCAGACATTGCAAATGTAAGATTTTACCGTACCAAACAGTTACTAGTGTAAGTAAAGAGATCATATAGCTAACAGCATCACAGACATACCGAAGGCTTTGGAGTATTCGATCTGGTAGTTGATACCTTGAAGGATGGGCGCTGGGGTTGTCGTCGTGATGCGGCCACCGCGGCCAAAGCCAATAGAAGCGCCTACGAAGTAAAGGTTCTTGACTAGGCTCGAAGTTCTGTAGCTGGGGGTGAATTTAGCTTCAACTATTCATCGTTAACGTTAATGGAACTTAATGTTGGAACTGTTCTACATTTTGTTGATGTCTAAGGTTGTGATGGAAAGTATCGAGTGCCCCGAGATGCAAAGTGATGAGGCTGAGGCAGATCTGTTCTTGGAGCCCCAAATTTGGGAATATGTAAAACGATACCCCCCACCCCATCCCCCCGACTCCCCGGGTGTCGATTCGGGTGTCGATTAGTGGCCACTAACCCAAAGTAGAGGCGCTCAGACAGGAACATCAAAAATCCAGCTTTGTCTTTAATTAATTTAAGTTTAAGTTTTACATATTACTCTTCGATAGGGTTCGAGCGATTTAAACTCCGCTGGTTCTTGGAGTCGAATGCTAGTTGACCTGCGAATCAAACAGGGATGTTGCCGAAAGAGTTGGAGATCGAGATGTGTTATTTGGCCAGGATGTTGTACAACCCTAGTGAAGTGTTGGGGGCTGACCCCTCATCTTCGTCTTAATGGCAAGGCGTCCAGTGGCCACCTCCGTAAAGATAGAGTAACCAAGGTAGTGCTGCCCCGCCCATTCGATAGGATGCTGCTCCGCCGTGGAACCTGCTTCCTGTGTCCGGACTCCTGCGATTGGGAGGTGCGGGAATCGATATATATTGAGCAAGTACTGGTCCGGAGAAGTTTTGACATCAAGGTTTAATTTAGCAACAACATCAACAACAAGAAATTGAAGCATCTATCCTCCTGGAAGCTGGTATTGGCAGGAGTTGCAGAATTGTATCGATTGAGACTCGCTAAACTCGAAGGTTTGAGATAGAGATCCTAAATATAAATTCGGCAGCGGAAATTTCTTATCTATTCATACACGCCCCAAGACTGGTGCTCGTGATATTAGATTGTGGAGAACTATATATAAATATGCAGCACTTTAGCTGTACACAATTTCTGTATCACTTGGGGAGAAGCTAAGTAAGATACTGTAATTTTTCACAAGAACAGACCGCCATGTAGACAGTGAGAGTAGCTGCGGCCTTCTAGTGGCACGTGACTCCACAATAATCAACCACACAAAAGAAAAACTTTTGTCCGAAAATTTCGCAACAATCCCTGAAAGCGCATCACCGACTAGGCATGTCCAAGCAGACGTCAAATTAAAAACTCTTTAGCACCCTCTAGTTGCATGCACGCAGCTCTATCGAGACATGCTGGTTGGACGTTCTCGAGATGATCTGCTGTTAGTGTGGCTTTCGTGACCGCCTCGCGCAGTTTTAAGGTGATGCGGTGAGGTGGGATGATGATTCAGCCGCCGGTTTCATCTGCTGGCAGAGCCCTAAGATGAAACTTTCAGGCCAGTGAGAAGTGAGTAAAGTGGGGCACGAAACGGCTGTGCCCTTCTTTTGCGGGTTGCCAGTGAAGTGTGAAGGGAGTGAGTGAGTCTCGGCATCCTCGGCTTCAGGAGATGCGGGGAGGGAGCGAGGGTTTTTGAGTTTGATGTTATCGGACCGCGGTGATCTGCCTCCCTCGGCGTCGACAAGCACAGCAAACACGCGATCGGAGCAAGCTAAACATTCTTCCTGTGATGGCTTATCTCACCACTTTCACCAGGGCCGTCCAGAGCATCCACTGATGTTGCTGCCCACACATCCATGATCGGGACTCGCTGGGCGAAGGCTTTTCAAGTGCCGGCGGAAAACTGCAGGGTGGTTTGTGCTTCCCACTGTCGAGGCCGCCCCGCGGCGACAGGGGCCAGGTCCAACCTCCGCACGCCCTCGATTGGTGTTGATACGGAGAATTGGCCGTCTGCACGCAAGAGTGGGAAGGGGGCAGGTGCTTGCCTATCTGTTTAAAATCGAGGCAATGATCGACGATGCAACCTTATTGCGGACAGGGTGGACGCAGAGACTGCGTCACGGGGCATTGTTCGCCGAATGGAATTGGAGGGGATGCTTGATTTTCCATTCCGCTTCTGACTCGAGGATTGGGGCTTGGATCGAGGACGATTAGATGAGTGCACAATCGTGAGTGGACAACAACAGTTTCTGCCCGTCAAACGCACATGAGATGTGTCAACGAATGTGAGGCGGTCTATCTAATTCTCGGCGAGGAAGGAGATGGTGAGCTCCACTCTTGACCTGGATATGGAAATGGAGATCCTCGGGCTTGGATGGTCGGGTGAGGCGAGTAGGCCATACATAGTACAGTGTCGAAATGAACATGATATGTGCGCTTAGATAACCTGTGTGCTGGCTTGTCTCTTGGTAGCCTACCGGTAGAAGAACAGGAGGAGGTAGGTGTACAGGTGCGAGGCGGAGAAAGGCTCGCATGATTGTTGATGCTGTGCGTTGTGTGCGTGCATGCCGTCTTGATGGTGCATCGAGGCAATCTCAGATGCAAAGCGCCAGTCGAAGCCACCCGCTTATTAGCACTTCGCAGTCTCTCACACACAAACACGGACTGTGCAAAGTAAAAAAAAAACAATGGGCTGACGGGCGGAAAAAAGTAAAAGCTCAAAGCTGGCTTGGGCTGGGCAGAAGTAGGCCTAGCCAATTGCTACTGTCTGTTCCTTGGGCGTTGAAAATCCTGCACCTGGTGCACCAGCCAGTCCCGGAGCCAGTCAACTGTTGTTATTCCCATCTGTCATCCGCGGCTGGCGGTGGAAGGAAGTGGAGCAGCTCAAACGCCGCCGCTCCCCTCCCTTGCCCTCCCCTCGCCGCCTCGCCCCCATTTTATTTTGCTGTGTGGTTTGTGGTTTGTGGTATTCCCCTTACCCTGCTTCCACTGCCAGGGTCACGCCCTCCGCGCAGACTACCGTAACGACTACCGTAGCGACTACCGTAGTCTACCGAAGGTCCCATCCACCAAAACAAGCAACAAGCAACAACCATCGACTTCCAACCTTCACTTCCGCAATCCACACCTCGCCACAACGTCGCCCACGAAACGACACGAATGACGCCGCGACGACCCCAAACACCACGATATTAGGGTCGACCCATCCACGCTGCAATTGCTGTACGAGAGACCGTTCGCCCTGGTTGTTCCGGGCTGAGGTGGTGCGCAATAGCTCTCGCTCGCTGACTCGGAAGTCGCTCTGGGTCAGCGCAGTCGCATGCCGCCTCGTGGGCCCTCCAGTTCCAAGCGACAGCAGGGTGTCGCGAACCAGCGAGACACTCGGCATGAGAATGGCCTTGTAGGACCAGGCAAGAGGGTCACGAAGCAGAAGAGTAATGGTCACATCAATGGTCACGCCAAGGCTGCCGAGAGCAGCTCCTCGACTCCCCCTCTGCCTGCTACCCCTCCAGCGACGAACGGACATGCGCGATACCCAGCACTGCCAGACCATCAGAATGATCCCAAGATGCCAGGACACACTTTGAGGCGGTCATCGGTCAGTGGCTACTCGGACTCGTCCCTCTCCGAGGCGTACCACAATGCTCCCGGCAGTCCCGTCTCCAATGGGCACCACCGCGAGATCGATGTCAGCAACTCTGTCAAGAAGTCCCACTCTCTTGGCCATCTGGACCAGCTCTCTACCGTTCTGCGGTCTCTGCCGCTCCAAGACACTCTCGCCATCCTCATCGTCCTCCTCCAAATCCCGCCCACCTTCCTCTCAATCGTCCACCTCCTCTTCGCTACCTTGACCTTTGTGCCTCCTTCCTCGACATCCCTCTCAGCATTGAACTTCCCTGACATCCTAAACGGATCCTTGGGTACACCTTCAATAGCCACAATCTTCTTCGTCGATGCGCTGGTTTTGTTAGTATGGCTCTTCTTATGGAGTCCACTTCAGGATATTGCGTTGGACTTGGCACAGATGGTGATTGCGTTGACTCTGGGAGGCGGGGTTAGTGGGAGGGAGGCTGGTGTGAGGAGTGTCTTGTGGTGCTTTGGGATCATAGGAGTGTCGCATTTTTCTCGAAATGGTTCCGTCAAACCAACCGGCCTTCGGGCAATCATATCATCGTCGAGTGGATTACTTGCATCTCCTGATCCTGATGATCCGCTCGAGCCGATGTCTCACAGTTCGAATAAAAAACATGGCCTAGTTCGAAGCATTTTAGCAATACACATTTTAACACAAGGGGTGGTACGGTACATAAGGGATTGGTATGTTAGGAGGGAAAAACGAGACAGCACGGCGTCTATGGGAGACCCGGAGGCTGGAAAGGCAGCTGTCGATGTTAGCAACGATTCGACCACGAGTACACACACACCAGACACCGATTCTTCGACGTCTTTACCGGTCAGCAACACAGTGACTACGAAAAAGAAGAAGAAACAAAGTGCGCAAGTTCGTATACAACAGCCATTATGGGCAGCGTTAGCAAGCACGAAAATTGTCATGGTAAAGGAGTACGAGACCTCACACACAGCAGCCGAGTCTGCTGGCACAAATGCAACAGACATCAACAATCTTGGGGATGCCCCATTTCACAGCGAAGCGGATCGAATCTGGATAACTTATGTTGGATCAGACGAGGTCTGCTTCAATACGAGTTTCTTTCCCACCCACACACCGCCGGAAAACGAGGACAAGGGTACGGAAGTTTCGGGCATTGATGAAAAGAAGCCTTTCTTCGTGAGGGTCAACCAAACAGATTGGCATGCCACAAGAATCAACGCTACAACTGATCCTGAGCAGCCAGCCGGACAGGACATTAGATGGAGCGGGGAAATCTTTGGTCTTGCTCCTCTGTCCAATTACGAGTGCGATTTCATCAGCACTGTTGACAATTCTGTTCTCTTTTCTAGCAGCGTTCGGACCCTCCGTTCTCCTACCACCGATTCAGCAGCCGGCCTGTCACCCAACCCTCAAGGAAGACCAAATTCGCCCATCACAACCCTCAGAACATCCATCGCTTCCGCAAAAGTCAAGCTCGATGACGAGAAAACCAAGCAGAAAGGCCAACGTAAAGAGCAACGTGCAAAGCTCAGTTCTGCACGCAAGGATATCGAGAAGCTTAGTACCAGCATTGCAAATGCCGGTGGTAGTGACGATCGGCAAAAGAATAAGATCATCCAGAACAATCATCAGGCGAGACAAGCAGACGAGGCATGCACTGCTCTCGATGCTGAAATTGCCGAGTTGAGGAATATCCCATCAGATGATAGCTCACGCCATTCATCCTCCCATGCTGGATTCAAGGCTCAACGCAAGATGCACAAGCAGAAGCAGGACGAATTCAACACCGCCAAACTCGCTGCCGACGAGGAGGTCCACGCTCTCAAGGAAGAGATCGCATCTCTTCAACAGAAGCATGAAAGATACGAAAGCCGCATCACTCTGCTCAACGAGCGTCGCGACCGGATCACGGATGCAAATGCCAAGGGCCTGGATGAAGTTCAACGCAAAGACCGGGAACGACAAGCGAAGCGTGAGGAGCGGAACAAGATCAATGCTTTCTACACTAACCGTCTCCATCTCCTCCAAGACAACATCACCCAAGGCACCGCTGCGCTGAGTTCGTTGACTGCCGCCATTGAAGCAGTCCAACAAGCAATGTATGCCGACAGTCCATCAGCCTCTTCCCAAAACCTCAGCGCTCCCTTCGGCGACACGATTCCTGAGAACAGCGGCTTACCTCCATACACGTGGAACTCTCCCTCAGCGGGTATCTACGCGACAAGCGGCTACGCACCCATGCTCGGCCTCTCGTCCACCCCTCAAGCCCACCGCACAACCCGCGGCCGCAGTTCCAGCATGCTGAGCAACGTTTCCGGCTTCACACAATCGAGCGGCGAAGGCCCCTCGGGTTTTGGTCCGGTGGGCAAAGGCAGTGTTTGGGAGGATGCGAGGGAGGAGCGCAAGGCAAGCAGTGGGAGTGGGAGCAGTTTTGGGGATCCGAAGAGCCCGATTATTGGGAATGGGAAACTCGTACCGAGCCCTTGGTAATTTGTTGTGTTTGCTTGCATCGATTAGGCAATGAAATGTTTTTTGACCGATGTTGACTTGTGGAGGGACGTTGATTTGGCATACGTGCTCCTTGTTGTGACTGACCCTTTTCAGCCCCCATTCGTCTGTGATCGATCATGCAATGCCCATTGCATCAGCCCACGGCGGAACGGCCGCCCTACCCTCAAACTAACAGCAGGCGTCAATCCAACTCGCTCGCGGCAGTCTATCACATTCTCAAGTCCAAATGAAAAGGACCTCTTCTGCAACCATCATGCATAATTATAAACGAACTCCACATTGGGCCTCAATACCGCCCAAAGCACATGCATCCCCCATCCAGGATATATATTAGCTTGCTGTCCCATCGATTGGGCCAGGAAAACTTTGTTGCACGTCGGAGGTCCTTCGCCCCCAAGATGTTTACGTATTGTAATAGGGGGAGAGGATGAGGGCTGGGGGAAGTGCTGAGGGAAGTGCTGAAGGAAGTCCGAGGATACGAGACCCCTGTGTTCTAAGCGAGGTGTGGTGTCTTTTGGCGCGTTGAACAGTCGCGTCATCCGAGGAACCAATTTACGCGTCTTCTTCAACAAACTCCACACGTCAAACTTCGAACACCCTGCCACGATTACAACACCACAAGATTCGAGCAATTGAACTCTCGAGCGAGGAATCGAGACAAATCAGAGAAATAGTTCAATTGAGAGGGGGACAAAGGAGCACAGCAACCATGATCCGACAAGACTTCTCCCGCATCGAGAGCAAGCGCAAAAACGTCGCCCACCGCCAGAAACAGTTCCTCACCCCCCAGTACGCACCGCTCACCTACTCCACGCGCCTGAACTTCTACACCCTCCCGCCCACCGCCGACATCACCCTCGAGCAGTTCGAGCAATGGGCCATCGACCGGCTGCGCGTCCTCGCCGAACTCGAGGCCTGCTCCTTCCGCAACAAATCCCCCGCGGAGACGGCTGCCCATATGAAGCCGCTGCTGGACAAGTATCTCCCGCTGAGTGGGAGTAGTTCCGGGAGTGGTAAACTGCAGGAGGAGAGGATGAAGGATCATTATTCGCACTTTATACTGCGGCTGGCGTTCGCGAGTACGGAGGATTCGAGGAGGAGGTTTAGTCGGGTCGAGAGTATGCTGTTCCGGTTGCGGTTTCTGGATAACGATGTCAAGGAGCGGCAAGCTTTTGTAGAGGGCTTAAATCTGGAGTGGGAGGTTGTGGGGGAGGAGGAGAAGGGCAGGTGGAGTGAGGAGTTGAGGGCTGCGGCTGGCGGGTTCTTGAAGGGTGAGAGGTTTGAGGGCGAGAGTTGGTTTAAGGTTGATTGGGAACGCGTGCCGGAGTTGGTGGAGGGGAGGAGGGTGTTCTTGAGGGCTGGGAAGGCGTATGTTCCGGGGAGGGAGCAGATGAGTATGGTTGTTGCAGAGTTTACTGGACGGTTAGATAAAGCGCTTGAGGTTTGTCTTCCTGCCATCTTCATCTGGAGGAGAGTGTATACTGACTAGTTCAAGATGACTTCTAGAGCCCTCCCCCGCCTCGACGAAGACGACCGCCTCACCCCAATTCTCGCCCATCTTTCAAACAACTTCACAACTCCCGACGCCTCTTACTCATCCTCAACAACCGCCCTCCCAGGGGCCGACATCTCCGCCCGCAACATCGACACCCTCTCCTCCTCCTTCCCACTCTGCATGCAAAATCTCCACCGCTCTCTCCGCCGCGACGCACATCTCAAACACTACGGCCGTCTCCAGTACACGCTCTTCCTCAAAGGCATCGGGCTCAACCTCGAAGAATGCCTCGTGTTCTGGCGCACGGCATTCTCGAAAATCACAGATGATACGTTTAACAAGGAATACCGTTACAATGTGCGTCACGCATACGGAGATGTGGGTGGCGATTCAAATAGGAGAGGAAATGGGTATTCTCCGTTTTCATGTCAGAAGATCTTGACGGAACATCCACCTGGACCGGGAGAGAGCCATGGGTGTCCGTATCGGCACTTCTCGACAGAGAATTTGACGGCGTTGTTGCAGGCTGTGGGTGTTAAGGATAGCGAGGTGCTGAGGGGGGTTAAGGAGGATAAGGAGAAGATGAAGTTTCATTTGGCTTGTAATCGGTATGGCTGACCCCTTCCTTCCCCTGCGAGCCTGCGAGCTCCCTCTTTTGATGACTCGATGGATGGGGGCTGATCTAAATAGGGTCTTCGAATACGCACACAAGCAGGAGATTAAGAAGGTCAAAGAGGACGGCACGTGGGGCGCTGCGCAGCTCGAGACGATCGTGCACCCAAACGAGTATTTCAAGCGCAGTTACTTGCTCAAGAATCTCGGGAAGACGCCTGCAGGGACGGAAGCCGAGGGAGAAAAGGGAGATGTTAAGATGGAGGGCTAGGTTCCGTTCTGTGTAGGTGATGGGGATGGGCAAGGGAAGGAGGAGAGGGGTGTTATGGCGTTGTGTGGGTAATGATTATGAGTATTGGGATTTTGGCATGGTATTGTACAAGGGGAAGCAATTGAGACAACCATACTGCCTTCAGCGACTACCCCGCCGTGAACACCACGACCCATTTCGAACCGCTCATCGAACGCGCAAGTGCGTTACCTCGTCTTTCAAGCTTCGAGAATCCATTGTTGGGTTCTAAGCCATCTTGGACCCGAGGTTTCCTGCTCTCTATCTATTTATTTTGCGCAGTGCAAATTCTTGTTTTGATGGTACTTTGGTACTTTTGTAGTTGAACGCTAATCTTTCCCTCTCTGTTCCGAGGTGGATTAGTTACCATTGCCGCTCTTCTGGGTGTACTCATTCTCGACTCACCTTCTACTCAGATTACTCAGGCTCTGCTCTCCCGTACCCAGCCACGTTCTTGCTCTCGTTTCCGGTAACTAATCAGTCTTTACCCCTTATTCGCTTATTCTTGTGCATGTTGGTGACTCTTTACGAATACGAAGGCGGGCGGCGTTGAAAACCGTCCACGTGCCGTCCAGCTGGCAGCAGCCGAGGAACACCAAAATCGCTACGTTTACAAAATCATACCGAATCTCAACGAAACGCCCGAAACTCTTTACAAGTCTTTGGGTGATAGAAAAGAAGCAGATCCAACTTTCGCAAAAAATTTACGATAATTAAATATAAGGAGGAATTGTGAGAAATTCCGTATTGCGAGGGTCAAAATTACGCTTGTCCTCGCTTAGGGTGTAAGACGAATTTCAATGCCGCTCACCTTTGTATCCAGGGAGACCAAATCAGCTCCCAAGCATCCCAAACTAGACCGCTCTAAAAATAAATCATTTCAATCTCTTAGCACATCCATGTCAATAACGGAGCTCTGGTACTTGTCCAAGGAGAGTGCCAGAAATCGAAGAACCAACACTCATAAATTGCTGGTGCACAGACGACAGGCGGCAATTCAAGCCACATTGTGCTAAGTGAGACGCGTATGACATCCCAGCGGTTATATCAACCAACCAATGACCCCCAATTGTTATGTTTCAAATTTAGTCCCTACGAGGGTGTGTCTACTCGTCAGGGAGTGCGGATCGCCTTCGAGTTAAACGCTGAGGAGCTTTGCCTGCGTTTCATTGTCAAACCTTGCCAGGTAGTATCTTTGCACTCAGAGCCGCGCGCTAGGATCTCCATTCTATTTTCTTATATTCTCTGCGACATACTGTTGATTATATGATGCAGAAAGGGCAGTTCAAAAACATTGGATATTTGTTACAGCTTCCTGCACATTGAACAACAACATGAGCTCGCGCGACGGCTCAAAGGAAGAGGGGGGTCCTTACTCTTCCCATGACAAGCCTTCAAAACTATTTCTTCGTCCTGAGGCTGATTTGAGCTTTGTTGCTCAGTATTTAAATCAAGATCCGGACCTCTGGGTGTTTCGACGTTTTGGAAAACTTCACTTATTTAATATTCTTTGCCTTCAGCAACACCTAGCGGAACTGGAAAACACGCTCGAGACGAAAATATGGAATGGTGAAAAAACTGGGTTTGACGAGCTTTTGCCTAGTATTAAAGTTGCGTTAAAAGAATATGGTACACCTGCTATTTCATTGATCAACCTAGCTCTCTTCCCAGTTTTCTATCTGTACAATTCATCATCCAGATGATTATAAGTCTAACCTTCTCATAGACGATGCTCTGTCAATGCAGGCAAATTACAGGTCTTATCAACAGCCCGAGAAACATATCTTCAAACTTCTTGAAAAATGGTGGAACTACTACCATGGCCGAGGCTCGGCGCTCCGTATCGGACTCGATTTTCATACTGGGGGTAAAAGCCGCCAGAAGGACCTCGCCTCCATAGCTGCGCTTGAGAAAACGTGGACTCATAGGTTCATCGACAGTCACGATCACCTGAGACGTTTATTCGCAAAGGCCAGTACTTTCTCTACTCCCCCCACTGCTAGCTAGACCGCCTTACCGCATGTGCCTGAGCTAACATTCCATGCGTATAGGATGATGGCTTGGGCGAACAATTGCCGTCAACACTGCTCTACTCCGAGGAAAATGTTCAGCGTGCAGAAGCTGTTTTTCTCCATGCCTGCTTCTGCTGCTTGCTGCTCTGCCCTATCCTGGCACTCTCCTATGTCCATAGCAAAACCTGGAAGCTAGTTATTCTAGCGGCTTCCTTGTTTGCAACAGCTGTGTTGACAGTAGGATTTCTCAATACGCCCAACAAGAATGCTTTGGCTTTAGTAGCGGGGTAAGACTTGCACCTTAAACCTTTCACTTCATTCGAGGATTAGTCAGTATGCTAAGTTTTTGTGACAGATACGCAGCAATATTAGTAGTTTTCCTATCGAATGGTGTCGGCTCATGATTATTAAGATTTATCAGAGAAGCAAACACCGGTAATTTGACGGTCGAATGGATGAGATTGCTGTTGATGTCATTTGATTGATAAGCTCAATTGTGGATATTGTACAATTAACTATCGTTTAAATAAGCGTCCTTTCTCAGCCAGCTGAGTGATAGGTGATGACCAACTTGAATTCCAAACAGACCAGCAGTAGAAACACAATGTGCAAATATACAAGAAACATCCATAAAATACAACCAAATTCCATCGTCGCCAAGTAGCCAAGGAACCCTATATAAGACATGAAAGGCTGCGGACAGTAAGAAATACTCCTAGGGCTTTACTCGAATAAAAATATCATTCAAGTGCACCCCTTGCCGTGACAGTGACTTAACCCCTCCACCATCCCGCTCAACCTCAAACTCCAGATTTTTCCATGCGTCAAAACAGTCAATTGCCAAGGTGGAGAATGTTCCAGGTGAGCATATCCTGAATTTCTCGCCCTTCTTGGCAAACTTTAATTTCTGACACGACTTTGTCCCCGATTGAATGACAACACGAAGTACCCCCTCCGGTTTTTCATTATCCTCGCCCTTCCAGTCAATGATGTCTAAATACTGTCCATTCCTGGAACAAAAGTATTTGCCGGGCAGATCAGGACAACTAGAAGTCGGTGTGTCCGGTTGGGCGTCGAGTAGCTCCAGTTCCTTTACTTTAAGGGCGTTTTCATCGAATATTTGATTAGCTAGTTCAAAGTATCGTTCAGCAGAAGTCATCGTGCTCCAGCTTGGTAGGTAATTGCTAACGTCCCAACCGATAGCCTTTGGAGGTCGAAGGTCAAAGATTTCTTGCAGGTAGAGCCGCGAGATAAGATCGGAGGCGTCGAGAGGGCCTGACGTATTGGTGAGGACGATGACGAATGTACGTTTGCTGGGTAGGAAATAAACTGTGCCGGCCCAACCAGTAGCAGATCCTGCTAAATAGAATGCGCTGATTTCTTCCTCACCGGATGGTTTCCCAAGTACGTGCGTCTTGAGACTACTATCAGGGGATATCATTCGATTGAGAGAGTGGCTCCCTGGGCCCGTTGAGTTCAAACTGGTAAGCAGTCCGCAAGGGGTATATCCCGCCTGTTTATTAACAAGGCTCTTACCAGAGCCAAGAGACTCGAAGACTGCTTTGTCGAACCGGCCGACAGGCTTCCCATCCTTTGCCGACAGCAATCCCTCAAAAAAGCGGCCTAGATCAGCAGCAGAGGTGTAAGGACCTAGCCAAGCAATCTCGACTATATCGGATAAACCAAGTATCGTAGTCGGCCTAAAGATACGGCGACGTCGATCGCTGGATACTACATGCGGCTGTCTTTGGCTTTCGTTTGTGCGCGAACCTAGCAGATCTTCGAGGCATAGAAAGGTACGCTCCATCCCGAAAGGCTTGAAAATGTACTCCTTTAGGAACTCGTTAAGGGACCCCGATGCCTTGTCAACGAGCAAAGCTAGCAAGATGTAATTGGCATTAGAATATATTATCTGATTTTCTCCTTCCGCCGGCTGTTCGCGCGTATCTTTGGCGTATTGAGATATTCTATCAGTAACGTCGTGAAGACATTGCAGTGGCGTCCCATCTGGGGCGAGTAGGATATGGTTTATGTCGTAAACTCCGTTGCAGTGAAGGAGCAGTTTCAGCACACTTGGGTCCCCAGGTAGAGGGCGCATCTGATCTTGGACCCCGACCAAATTATTGTAGACGTCCGTGAAAGGCCTATCCCAAGCGCCTTCCAGCTTGCGATACTCCGCTGTTGCACTTGAATCTGACGAGAGTTTGTCGATTATCAGAATAAGACAGGCGGCAATAAAGACCTTGAACAATGATGCGCATTGAAAAAGAAGGTCTTCATCGCATTGTGGATCGCGTTGCGCTTGACCAGTAGCTGGCTTATGGTAGGTTGCGTGGGTTTTCCCGTGTTGGGCTCTGCAGTATATACAGCATCGAGCAGTATTCGAAATATCTAGTATTGCAAGGACGCTTGGATCAAGAGCCTCGAGGGTCTGCTGGAAGGAAGACATAGTCGAATTTTTGGGAAAGATGCTATATCGGCTGAGATCAGCGAACGTACGTAGGACTGGATCATCAATAGAATACTCATGAAAGTAGGCTTACATAGCAAGCGGAATAGAGGAGAAGGCAGGCGCTTCGCCGTCGTTACAATACTGGGTTCCAAGACCGAGGAAGATTTCTGCCCTTGAGTGCCCACCGGAAGTCCAGGCAATGGAGGATATGGCTCGGACGATGGAGGAGCGTCGCAAACTGAGTGTGGTACGATAGATTGTAGGGAACAGGAAAGCTGAGATATCGCGGGTTCCGACAATACCCCTAATTTTCGACCCCGCTCTGACCCATCCCGGCTCCAACAGCATCTACAGTATAGAGACAGAGAAGCCATCTCCGCGAACTAGCGCGTGAGCGGCAAAGCATCGCTTTGTTGGATCAAGATATTCCCACACATCTGTCAGCCGACCAACCTTCCACCACTGAAATAGAAAATATATCAGGCTCCGGTATAGCATCCTAGCACATAGCAACAACCTTTCTGGCCTCTTGGAGTTCTGGGTTGTAAAACTCACTCCGCCTTCTAGCGTTAAAGTCGGTGTCCTTTTAGCTGCGGTAGGTTCCGATCTTCGCAAGCCCATTCACATCATTGAGGAATGCGGGGAACCCCATCGAGCAGACGAACACAACATGCAGACCAGAGACATTCCGACGCAGCACAACGCTTGCTATCGTATCATATTCACGCATATAACTATCGTCGGGGAGTATGCTACGTTGGAAGCTGATCTCAAACAGTCATAATTCCCCGCAGAAACAAAGGGCGGCCTTCAACGCTTTATTCTGGAAGCACTCGGCTCTCCATCGGAGTTCAATACATACATGCAGCGACATACTTGTCTTTGAAGCACCAAGTACTTACGAGGCGGGAATCAAAGGCAGCAACGGTCGTCGACAGACTTTCCGAGCCCCTTCGCGCGACGGACTGACGTCGTCGTTCCAGATTTTCGGCTCCCCAAGAGAGGCAGCAGACTTGAATCGACAATCGAACGAACATCGGTCTGCTTAAACCGACGACCTGCGCTATGCAACGCATTCGCACAATGAGATCCAAAAAGGAGATGGAAGTTGTAACCAAGAAGCACAAAGGTTTTGGCATGGAGTCGATAGCCAGGAAGAGCACCATATTTGCGTTGCGGACAATAGCAGTTGGTGCGATGGTAGGTTAAGGAGTGTATGCAGACCAGCAAGATATATAGGAGGACAAAGGGGGAAAGCATCTACACATGCTGCGAGATTGATAGGATTTCTCAAGGCTCAACCGTCGCCGTCGATTCAGATTCTGCTCGCCAATCGCGGTTCTGGGCAGGATTTTCGACGACGAGATTTCTGGAGGAACAGCATGCTACATTGTCTTGAGTCATCTATCGAAATTCGTATGAGGACATCGATCGGAGAAGTCGTGAGAAAGAGGTTTCGGGACTGGACCCGGCCTGCCCGGGTTCGGATCCGGCATGGGAGCACAAAGGCATCCGAGCACGGCTCCGCGGCGCGCCCATGTAAGATCGGCCCCAATGAGCAAGGATCTTGCGGAATGGACGAATGGTTCTCAACTGGAGGACGGGGTGGTATTTCAATGAAGGCAGGTCCATCTTTCCTTCAAAATGAACACACACGATCTGCATATTTGAGGAGACGCGTGCTCCCATTCCAGAACGTGGAGAATTCGAGAACCGACGAACCCGACCACCACAGGCAAGACAATGTCAGGCTCTGCCGCCCCCAAGTCGACAAAAGACCAGCAGACCTTCGAGCCAGACTTTAAGGCGAAGGAAATGGTCGAGAGTGATGATACTTGGTTTCAAAAGAGATTTGGCGCACAAAAGGAGGACAAGAGCAAGGCAGGCGCAACTGGCAAAGCTCCCAAGAGTGGTGGCAGGGGAAAACGTAACCCCGCGAAGAAGACTGGAGTACGAATCAATCCATCCGTTTGATTGGGATGGGAGTCGACTGACAGAATCGTTTAGGGATCCAAATGTATTGCTTCATGAGAAGCCGTACGTCTGGCAATTGCCGCCGTCTGATGAGCCCTTCGCTGGTGGTTCAGGTCGACGACAATCCTGACGTAGGCGTGCCATGCCATCCAGGCATAGAGGGGAGTGTGAGTTGTCGAGTTGGGACGCGGAACATCGCCAACTAGAATTGGAATTCTCATCGGGCTGCGCAACGGGTCCGGAATGCGGAGGACGTTACACGAAGTTCGATGTAGTCACACACAGTTCCCATAAATACCAGTAGCGCGCCCCCACGACTTAATTTTGATCTTTAGTGAACAGGTGTCCATTGGACGAGGGAACACCCTTCCGCACGGCCCGGAGCGAACGGGGCAAGATCATGTCATGCGGGGAGTTGTGATGCAAGGAAAAGAAATGAGGGAGCCCCCACGCGCAGTGTCCACCGTCACACTGGTTTGCAGAGGCCAAAGGTGATTGGCCTTGCTTGGCCAAGTTACCAGGGCCCTTGAACCTTCCTGCAGTCGACGCCGCGGAAGGCAGCCGCCGTATCCGAGCTTCGTTACACAAATACTCGAGCAAGGTCGCTGGGCGAGAATTATTGGTCGTCTTCTCTCACATCCATCCGCCACACAATCTGATTTAAGCTCTACGAAATCTGGCCTTCTCTCTCCGTCTCTTCTACTACTTCAGAACTAAAGTAGATCTATCTGCTTTTCTTTCTCTCGCCATGTCCTCTCTAAATCTGCATATCAGAGTCACTCTCCTGGTCGAGGAGATGCTCCGCCACAAACTCCCTCCCAGCCCCCTGTTACCATTGCACCCCATCACTCCATACACCGGACAACACATATCCTTCCCGGCCCTTCACTCATTCGAAGTCTGCGACACAATTTCTCATCGCTCCTGATCGATAACTACACCGACTATTTGTCTCCCGTTGAAGCATCAAGCCTCAGTAAGGCGGAAGCCGAAGGAGAATACCTTCCCGCCCGGACACTGCCGAAAACACCACAAGTATTTTGCTACAGGAAGCCCTTTGAAAAATGCCCATGTCACATCTACCGTAAACTACATCACCGGTCTGCGCAGGCGGATAACGTGAGGAGTCCCATCCTTAGCAACCATGCTGTGGGATGTACAGTACAAGCTCAGAAACAGCAGACGCTGCAAGTATCTCGGCGAGGACCCGGTCGGTACTTTGGGAAACGCTATTGCATGTTCAGGCTGACTTGGGGTTTATTCAGGTTACTCAGGGATGCTCACCCTCGGCTGCGGTAAAAGCGGCCGCTGCTCACGTCGAGCGACTTAAACGGAACCAGTGAACATTGGATCAGAGTCTGACTTCCCTAGTACTTTGACTCTCTACCTCTCAAGAACACGACAGAAAATTTGATAACACGGTGTAATGATCTGTGTAACAAATGGCATCCTCATGGATCGTGGTGGCTTGCTGGCTGTAGAGAAAAGTAGATATGAGTCAACAGCTGAATGTCTTGGCAGCATTTGAAGGCGTTCTTCGCCCCTATCGCGAACGAGGCCACAGTGTCCCTATCCCTCCTACGGTATACAAATATGGTCAAATCAACCATGAACCAGGAAATCAATTCCTAAACCTCATAATTATTGAAAAATCATATCCAACACACAATGTCCTTAACCCCCTTCCAACTCGGCCTCCTCTCTCACCTCGCTGCTATCGGCCTCCTGTTAGCAGGGCTTCTTATACCTCCCTCGAAACTCACTCACAATCAACTAGCCCTCGCATTTCTACCTCCTATATGGGTGTGTCATATCTATTCCTGGTCCGTCGGCCTCGGTTTCCTGGCTGGGGTCCAGGTTTTGTGGGCCACGGAACTCCTCTTATTCCAAAACCCTCGGGAGAAATTCCAGGTCATCTATCACCAACCTCCGCCTCCCTCTCCACCTCTCAAGCCCACGGGCGAGAGTATCTCAAAGAGTAACAAAGAGAGCGAGAAGGATGACAAGCCAAAGCATATACGGAAGGAGCCCTATCCTACGAATTTCCGGAGCAGGCTTCAATGGGTCTTCAAACTCCACATCTCAATGCGCTACGTCGGATGGGATACCGGCTCTCCCACACCCAACAATTCTCTTCCCAGAAACGGGAGAAAACAGTCTCGCCTCCGCTGGCTACTAAACAACATGCTCCTCGCAGGCCTCTGCTTTCTCCTCATCGACGCCACGAACGCATACCAACATCTCGACCCCTATTTCCAAATCGAAACTCCCATCGATTCTGTTTTCACTCTCCCTTTATCTGCATTGCTCTCTCGTTACACTTTGGGTTTCCTTCCGCCGCCGAGACTGGTAAGGATTCTTGTTCTGGGAGTGCAGCAGTACGCCGTGTTCACGTTGATTAATCGCGTGTTGGCGATTCTGCACGTTAGTTTTGGTGGACTGGGTCTTTTTGGTGAGTGGTGGGGTGGAGTTGAGAGTTGGCCGATGTTGATGGGGAGCCCGGCTGTGGTGTGGGGGAGTGGATTGAGGGGCTTCTGGGGGAGGTTTTGGCATCAACTATTCCGAAACGTGAGTTTTCTCCCAGTTTTCTCGGCGTTGAGAGTAGGCAGGCTGATGCTGATGAGGGTAGTTGTTCATGAGCCCCGCAAAAGCATTGATAAATGTGCTGGGCGTAAAGCCCAAGTCTCTCCCCGCATACGCGATTAGGATAGTAATCGCCTTCTTCATTTCGGGAGTCCTCCACGCTGCTACTCTTCCACGCAATATTTACAGTGTCAGTCCGCTACGATACGCATCTTTCTTTTGGATCCAGGGTGTTTGTGTTTTGCTTGAAGTCATGGTCGAGCAGATGTTGGGTGATGGAAAGCTAAAGCAAAGAGCCTGGTGGAAGCGATATGGGGCAGGAATTATTAGGTTGCTGTGGACAGTTGTGGTTCTTTATGTAACGGTGCCGGTTGTTGCGGATGAGTTGACAAGGGTTTTGAGAGTTATGGGTCTCAAGCCGACGGTGCTGTTACCGCTACCGCTGCCGAAGAACAATAAGATGGACAGGGTGTTCCTAAGAGAGATTATGAAGTAGCCTTTTACCCTGCACCCTTAAAACTATGCAAACCAATCAGGGAAGGCACCTTCTTGCTATATAATCATAATCTCAATAACAAGTCTCTAAAACACTCAAGTTGACTATCAAGCTGCTATCGTCGTTGCTCCTCTAAGGCTCTAACTTACTCGATTTCTCAGAGCGTTGGGTCGCGGCAGCAGAGGTTGGTTTATTCGTAAATCTTAGTTCTCTTGTAAACTCTGAGCTCCTCATAATACTATGAACTGTATTCTCGGGAGTTTCTAGAAAGCACATTCATGTAGTTAGCCATGAGAAAGGATTCACTCAAAGGCGCTATTATTAACACCCGGCTTTTCTTTGCAAATAACAATAAATCATGAATCTGCTAATTGCTAAAAACTAAAGAAGAAAATTGACAGTGAGGTTGCAGGGGTATGATTATTCTGCCACGGCTTTCCTAAGGCTGGAATTCCCTTATTAAGGCATTTAAGCGAGAAGCCTCGCCCCTATAAGAAGCGAATCTCACCCCATGCTACTTCGAACTTATATTTAAATTACGTATTTCAACGGTAAAGATTTAATTATAAAATAATTAATTATTTCAAGTATATAGCTTGCAATTATATCTTAATTTTCACAAATACACAATTATGTGGTCCCATTATAATCTTATTATTATTTGCGATTTGTGTAGACAATAGAAATTTGGTAAGTAATTTGGTATGGGGCTTGAAAGCGGCAAAAGCGTCTTTAGTAGGGCGCTATGTGATTGCCTTACAGTTTTGATAGTGAAATCTGATGCCTTAGAAATACGGTGCAAGAATAATCGTACCCAGTTGCAGTTGACAGCAAATAGCAATTTGACAATAAAGGGAATGGATTTTAATGTCCAACTGCTATATACAAAGAACATTTGTACCAGTCTCTACTGCAATCGGAGAACTGTCCGTCATAAAGTGCCCTAATTTGAAATGAAGCAGAGAGCATCTGGGCAGGTTCGATGTCCTTTGTAGTGTTAGCGCGAGCGGTTGACTTGGGAGCAGATAGGAAACCGCTACTATAGTCTATATATGATGTCAATTTAGCGCAGCTTGACTCTAAAAGTCTAAAATAGGCCACCTTTCGAATATCACTTGGTGTATTGTGCAACTCCAAGACCAATGATATCCCTTAATAGAACCCTCACATCACCCACCTCTCTTCCTTCATCACCACATCCTCAATACCCACCAACTGCGGCACACAGACTGCCTCCCAGATATCCGTCCGCCAGATTCCCACACTCCACTTATTCTCCACTATCTCCTTCACAAATCCTTCACTCATCCACACACTCGCCACCTTGCCCTTCCCATCCCACGAAAATGAACTCCAAACCCTGACACCTTCCTCCCTCAATTGATCAATCGGCTGCCCTGACAATTTTGGCTCGAATTCATCTGTGCTGGGATCGAGAAACAATCTGAGGTGAGAGAGAACGCCTTGCGGTGCGTTGTTGTCGGAGAAAAGACTTTCTTTGACGAAGACCAGGATCAGACAACTTGGTTGTGCGACGTAGTTCATATATCCTTCCAGCTTGAAAGTGTATTTGTAGATCTCGTCTGATTTTGAGATTAAGGGTGAGGTGAGTTTGAAGGGAAGCAAAGGTTGGAATAGGCTTGCGAGGGTGCCGAGTTCGTGTGAGAAAGGTGTGGTGCAGAGTTTTCGGTCCGGGTAGTTGCGTTTGACATCTGCTGGCTTCATTGGCTTCGCTCTTGGCGGACGAGCGGTGGTTATGACATTGTTGTGTATGATGTTCAAGAGGGCTTCCGAGAGCCAGTGAGAGGGGTAGCCGAAGCCTCGAAGCTGGGCGATGAGCCGGAAAAGTATGCAAAGGTTCAAAGGACTGAAGATTATTTTGCTGTTGAGAGTGATGTCAATCCGCATTGGTAGAGCGAGGCGGAAGAAGAGTGAGCAGAACCATTTCGTGAATTTCTTCCTGGGGAGTAGAGCGGAGAAGTTGTGAGGACCGGGCTTGGACCAGGTGTAGAATGTGTAATCTGCCATGGGGTATGGGAGAGCATCGTTCTCGCGAATGACGATCATGATTTGAGCAAGGGCTTCTAGGGTGTCGGTGTCGGGGATTTGGTTATAGTCTGCAAGATAATCCTCGACAGTTCGCCAGCTGTCTGAATTACGCAGACAAGTCGCGCGGAGACTTGAAGCTGGTCCCCGGCGGAGAAAGGGCATAGCGTGGGCGAAGGTTGTGACATGGCCGTGGGTGTAATCACTGCTTCTTTTTAGCATTCCATGACCAAAGGAAGTGTGAATACTCACGGCACATTGCTCAGATGGATCCTGTCGTACAAGATTGGGAATTCCTTAGGACGAGTAACCGTCTCGTACAGACCAAATTGAATCTTCTCCGCAACATCCACGTAGTCTCCCAGAATAGCCTCGACCTTCAGTCTCTCGCCGAGATACTCAATTGCCTTGGCAGCCTCTAAGAAGAATGGCTTCATGTGTTCGAATAGCCTGTCTGGGTTGTTCGGCTTTGTCTGAACTTCGACGTAGGCAAAGTGATCGATGGCCTCAAACGGATTGAATCCCATATCAAACATATGTTTACCTTGCAGATCCGCATACCAGTCCTTATCCATGAGTGTCGTATTGAGGTGCCAATTCTCCCCTAGGTACTTCTTGAAAATTTTTGAGTTCTTTCGCGGACTGGTAGAATATTTCTGGATCATTTCCAAGAATCCAGGATCATGCAGTTGTAGGACTCTGTTGGAAGGAAAGAGGACAGCTGATTCAATGTAAAGACGTTTTTCGTTCTTGTAGAATGCATCTCCTTCGTTTCGCATGTGCCCCGCTGCCTCGGAAATGGACATCTTCAAGGAAACCTTGTCCACGACCTCGTTACTGGTGAAAATTTGCTTTCCCTCTCCCAACCAATGTCTCAAAGCAGCGAGATAAGATGGGATATCTTTCTCGTGGAGGAAAAGCCATTTCAAGGGGCTGCTTCCTTTCTCCAATGTGTCGATAGCGTTTGAGATGGTGGCTTCGAGCATCTCGAAGGCGTATCTCGGCATTACCGTAGAGAGATAAATAAAGAAGACTGTATTCAATACCATTTCTTTCTGGTCTTCCTTATCCAACTCAGTCAACTTATTCAACAACATCCAAACCACCACATTCCTCGCCAACGCACTCTTGGAAATATCGTTGATGGTGAAGTGATACTTCCTCTCAGGGCTGCCCTTCAGCCTCTCGGACTCGGATATTACAGCGAACGTTTGTAACACCGCCCTTGCATCTCCTACACCTCCGAGAAAGAAGGAAACCTCCTTCGATTCCGGAGCGAACGCCTCAAACATATCGGCCTCGAAGATAGTAGCCACGTCATCGTGACCGACCGTGAAGTACTCAGTAGAGGTAAACATGCTTGGTTTGTATCTCGGCAACTTCTCCAAAATTCTCTTCCGAACCTCTTTCTTTTCCGCTGCACCCGATTTGAACGAGTGTATTTCAGCTTTCGAGATTCGTGCTTGCAATTTCTCAACCTGAGCTTGGTCTGCTGGAGAAAGATCGACGCCCAAAAGAGAGATGGCGTCTTTTGCGGTCGTAATGCATTTCGTATAGGCACCCAACTCATAATAGCCTGCTGAGAGGTTGCGTGGAGGAATTGGATCGGCAGGATCCGCTTTTATGGCCTCCATGTATTTCTTGCAAGCTGTGAAAGGTTTGTCAGCACAGTCAAAACTGCTTTGGGTAAGAGTAGACTACCCAGAGGAATCTTCCCGGCTTTGTAGAGAGCATTGCCTTGTTCTCGAAGGGTGCTTGACGTCGATGGCGCTCGGGCATCCTTCGGCTCTGAGTGAGCCATCTTGGGAAGAAGCTGAGGAATCGTGGTGCGACCGTACGAGAAATCAGGTGGTCCAATTGATGCAAGCCTGGAGAATGCTACACTTTGGGTAAAGATTTGTGGCACCAGAGGTCAAGAGACAGCGCATTCACTGTGTTGATGAGGATGAGCTGAGGTAAAGGCGGTGAGTGTGCCGCCAAAACGGGAGTTGGCGCCTCTGGGATTATCATATCACGTGCATCTTAACTCTACAATACTCAGTTGAAAGAAAATAGTATTTTGATTATAGCTATATAATCTTGACGGCGGTGAGAATTAGAAACTGAGTAAAGGATGTTAGTGATTGGGTCAACGAGACGGAAAGTGTCCTACAGAGATTCAAATTCCAAAGAATGCTAATAATGTATGGTCTCTTTAATAATTTTACGATTTGAAATGAGAGTTAGAGATTAAGAGGCAGGGCGCTATTATATGTTACATCTAGGTTTGCTACATGTTACCGTAGTACTTGGGAATAGAGGGCTAGTTTTAAGCCCGATGCATCTGCGCAGTGATAAAGGTTTCGAAACGAGGGTCATAGAATCTTTTAAGCTGGCAAACTCCAAAGGCTTTTTGACAGTATTTTCACGGTGCAAAGGTCGTGTGGCTCTCACGACATATAACTATGGTTATCTCAAATACATTGCCGTCGTCACAACTATCTGTCGAAAGTGCCAGTACCAAATCCCTAATGCTGAATCCACAAAAGGGACCTGGTCCAATGCACTCTCAAGGAGTGGCCAACTGCCCTCCCATGCGTTGATTACATCTCGGCTACACAACCAAGTTCGAAATCCTTTGATCCACGCTCTTAACGCCCAAGATAACAGCTGCACCACTCTCTACGCCAGCGATCCTTCTCTCCTCAACGCTCGTGCTCACCTGGGATACACACCTTTTCACTTTACTGCACATGTCGGTCTCTACTCCGTCGCCTCAATTTTCATCTCCCATGGAACCTTGACCAATATCCGTGGCGATAAAGACCTCTCCCCGCTCTTGACAGTTATTGAGCTCGATCAGCCCCGGATCGTGCAGCTCCTTCCCCAAAACGGCGCGAATATCCATTCCGCCTGTGGTTTCCGTAAAAGTACGGCTCTTTACGCTACTGCTACTACTACTACTACTACTACTACTACTAGTAGTAGTAGTAGTAGTAAGTTCTCATTGTCCCAACCCTCGTTTCTTTCCTCCACGAGAAAGGAGCAGGGATCGACATGCTCGGGGGAGAGGTATGCCTCCAACTAGCTTGCCACATTAGTTCTCCGGAATATGCGTCTGTTCTCCTAGAGAAGGGCGCAAATCCTAATGTGAGGTCAGATGGGGTATATTTGGGGAACCACCGATCACAATCGCGGTACAAAATCATAACTCAGGGGCGTTAGACTTGTAGGTTAAATACGGGGCAGACATTGACGTATCTGCAAAGGACGAGAAATTCACAGCCTTGTCAGTGGCGATGTCTTCTAATCTTCAGGAGGTGGAGCGGAGATTGTTAGAGTATGGGACGGGTGTCAATATGCGTAGAAAACAAGGCGCGAGGGGGTTGCTGAAATATTCTGGACTGGTGCCGTAAAAATATGTGAGATACTGATTGGCAGAGACCCACAATAGAATCCAGTACCTTGCAAAATCATACACTTTCTCCCACCCGGTTCTCCCCCTCGTACAATTCATCTAACCTTTCCTTGCGCACAGCAACCGCCCTCCTAACACTATCCCCCTTCTTCTTCCATCTCTCAAACAAACCCACCCTTTGCAAGAACTTAGCCCACCACAACTGCAACGTCGCTCCACAAAACCCCAAGAAATCTTCGCTCAGCGCAAGGGCAAGAGAAAAGACAATGATGACAATGGATACAGGGACTATGTATCGTGTTGTCAGCTGAAACACTTGTCGAACGTGAAGTAAGTGAAGTGGGAGAAAGAACTCACACATGATCAGAAACTGCTTCCAGAGGTGGAAAGTGCCCTGACCGAATTCAGGGGCATTCATTCCGAAGACCGAAGAGAAAAACCCCAGTGGCAGCTATCACCCCTCGTCAGCATTTCTTCACCTCTAAGTCATACCTTCATTCTTTAATACGCACAAAAATGATAGTCACAATAGTAAAGAGCATCAGTGCTCGATTTTGTTTGTTTCCTTGAATAGTCTGTAGCGCGGATTGCTGCGCCAAGTCCCGTGTGGCAAGGAGGATGTTATTTGCTTCCTCGGCGCGGATGACAGCTTGTCTTGCTTCGAGGACGCCGGCTCGAGCTTCCTCAACATTGGCGTGCTTCTGCTTGAGGTCAAGCAGTTCTTTCAACTATCCGGAAAATTAGCAAATTTTGCGAGAAATGAGGATTACGAGTAAAAGGAGGGGCTGGGTATACTCACACCTTCAGCAGTCCTTTCCGCCGCTTTAGTCAGCTCATTGATCTCTGCTTTGCGCCTCACTACCTCCTTTGCTAGATGGCTGACTTTGTCCTTAGTTTTCTGTGTTACTTCCGTACTTTTACTGCTCAGTTGATCGAGGTGAGCAACAAATTCTTTCACGACGGACTGTTGCTGAGAGTATACTTTGGTCATCATGTGCAACTCATCCTGGATGTCCTTGATTTCTCTCAACAACTCGCCTTCCGGGTTGATATCTAGAAGTTGTTCAAGAAGCGCATCCTCGTTTTTCATTTTGTCGAGCTTGCGGCGTGCGGCGTCGGTGAGGTATGGCCATATTTCCTTGGGATCCCTGTTTAGCATCTCACGGTAGCGATGTGAGTCTGGCATGATCAGTTCCCAGAACTCATTGTAAGCTTTTGTGGACCGGTCTGTCTGTTGTGCATCAGTGAAGAGTGAGTAAAGGACGTTTGGTTTTCGGCTTACAACGTCTCCAATCGCGGTGGAGAATATATCCATCACTTCGGGCCTGTTGTCTCGTGAGACTGCGCGGTCGAAAAAAACTCGCGAGCATTGGTCCATCATCATTGTTGCCATATCGTATACGTTATTTAGATCTGGTCGATCAGAAGCAAGCTGCTCTCGTATCGTTCTATACAAGCCGGAAGGGTCCTGCTTCTTTCTTCCCCAGCGTCTTGGGAAGCTCGTGATCACAAGTTCTAGATCGTATTCAGTAAAAAATATCCACGGAATTGTCTGTGAATGTTTTGATGCTTACTGCCATCCAATATCCATAGCCACAGTTGATCAACCATGATTATTCTTGGATTTTGATCCTTGGTGGCACGATAGACAACCTGGTCTCGATCTCTGGTCGACGTATCTTTCAGGGTCCAATAGTACGACTGGTCCAACGTCCTTCGGATGTGAACTGGGCGCTCGGATAGAAGATGTTTTCGAAGCAGCTTTTCATCCGCATCTGCCTTCTTCGCAGTCCCGTAAATGATCGCTTTAGGAAGCAATTTCTTGCCCCAATTGCTGAGCCGCAAGTCCTTGACTTCTACCCCGGTTGAGGTGCGAGCCCCGGCTGTTTCGGGCGACTCGATGTCTTTAATGACATTTAGCATCTTTTCCCTTGCCTCATCTGTCTCCCAGTGGAGATAGGGCATCTATACGTTTGCTATTTAGCACAAATCGTAAGGAGGTAAGTGAAAACTGACAGAAATAACGAAGTCTCGGTGGGTTGCGCTGAGCTCATTTAGACCTAGATTCGGCTTTAATGAGCAAAAAGTGACATAAAGGGAGAGAAGATTGTTGTGGCTAATCCTTCAACCTCGGTATTACCTTCAGGGACGATGTCGCATCGATGCCTCATGAATCTCGCATGAATGGGGCCGCCCCTGCCGTGTTGCTGACCATGCCAGAAATCTGAGCGTAGCAGCCGAGACTGTTTGTCTCCATCCTTGTCTTTCTTATGATAATATATTCGAATGAGATCCTGTTGACAACATATCAGACTCAGATCTAGTTAAGTGCCTTGCGGCAATTTGAAACGGACTTGCCTAAACCCATTTCATATTGTTTGCAGGGAGATGGACATGGCGGATGATTCCTTCTTCATACCCTCCCAAGAGAGGATTATGTTCTTCTTCGTGCAATAGATTGTGAATCGAAAGTTTATCCACAGGTGCTTTGGACTCTTTTTTCGAAGGGCCGCAAGCATGATCCAGCACATAAGTCTCCCAACCGAATGTGCAGTTCTTATCATTGCATTCTTGGGGTTTGTGATCTGTGTCCTTAGCGGAGTCTTCGGAGAAGGTTGTGGTGGAAAGTGAACGCGGCGGTATTGGGGGCTGGTCGGTAATGACTTGTGATCGAGTAGGAGTCTCGCTGAAATGGATCGTTTGGGGCGAGGCTGACGGTCCGCCATTCGCGTCGCCGTTGCCATTGAGAATATCTACAAACAATTAGCATCTTTGATCCCCAATAGCAACGTAACCGAGAGTCTTGTCCCATTCCTTTGTCTGCCATTTCAACTCGGGACCTACCCTGAATGCTCAATGTTGGCAAATAAAAAGGTCAGAGAGCGCCCAGCCTTCTCTTGATATAGCTGGGGCTTCAATGGCCCCCATCTCAGCCGCAGATTCTCGACGGCGGAGAAGTTCCAGGGTCTGCACACCCTTTTGTCAAGCCCCCCAATCAAATCGCAGGCCCATAAGGCTGGGAAATTGAAATCCGCCACAAAGCGGGAAAGAGTAAAACGACACCATCCCCCAGGTGTTGATTAGGGGTGTCGATTAGGGCCCAGCGTGTTAACGACTTGTAATTGGCTACTTAAGCCCTTTTGAGACCTTAAGTTGGATTTTTTCTTTCTTCAAATATAAGTATAAGCTTACTCTGGCGGGGATTTCTCCGCTTGTCACCTGGCATAGTCATGTGACATCCGGAGGTCTGCAGCAGCGCATATTACCCTGCTCTCTCTCTTAGAAATCAACTAAGCTGTGATGGGCACACGTGATGGCGCATGGACAGGTGTCAGATGTCGTGGATCTAGTTTCCTATTTTAGGTAAAGCTTGCGATCGGAATCATACGGGCGATCGGAATCGTACGGATCGCATGGGATCGTATTTCCTAGTTAAGTAAAGTACTTCGCAGGCTTGGCTAAGCACTAGGGAACATATAGGGAGACGCTCCTAGCTTTAGAAAGGGGTATTAATTAGTCTTTTATTAGAATCGATTCTTGGAATCAGTTACACTTGCAAGCGTCACTCTGCAGCTTACTTATCTTAACTACTTATATATTACCCTGCTATTACGTACCTTATATTCTAATTAATCTAACCTTTAGGGAGCAGTTCGTTACGAGATAGTCAAGCTATTAATAGACAAAATATTAATAGCTAGAGTATTAACCAGAAGAAGCGCCTCTGCTACCGCTAGGATAACCTAACCGGATATCTAGAGAAGCACCCAGTCAAGTACTCTTTATACTGCCTAATTAGGAGAAGAAAGTGGAACTCAGACGCCCCCAGAACTAGCGGATAGGATAATAATAATAGAGAAATTAGCGGCGGCTTACTATTATATTACTAAGTTAGAAACAGAAATATAATAGAAAGAAGATCTAGAGAAGCTAGAAGCTCGGATTTATTATCTTAAAGATATTCGGATATCCGGTATAAAACCCGTTATATTCCTGGTAGTATTCTTAGTTTAGAGGGCTCTAAAAACCCGAGAACTATTTACTTACTAGGAAAAGAGTATTAAAGAAGCCCAGGACTTCTTTTATTAGGTAAAGTTAAAATAATATAAAAATAGCAGAATTATCTAGGCTACTAATATAATAAAGATTATATATTATATTTCCTATTTTAAGAATATAGCCAGAGATATTTAGAAATATAGGAAGTAATTAGTAAATATTAATATTATAAATTAGGAGATTTTTATTAAATTTATAAAGAATTTTATCTTAAATTCAAAAAACTATAATAATAATATTCTTACTAAATTTAAAAATACTAAATAATAACTAGACTAGAATATCTAAAGTTTTATATCTTACTTAGATAGCCTATTAAATAATTTGGAATATATAAGTTTATTATAAAAGTAAAATAACTTATTTAGTAGCTTAAGATAAGAGATTTAGAATAAAATTAATTATTAAGGAAATATTTTATAAGAAAAAAAAAGCTTATTTCTATAATTATAAGAATTAAGAATAATTTAAACTTATTTATTTAATAGAAATATAATAATAAGCTAATAAAATAATAAAAGAAAAAAAATAAGAAAAAAATAATAATAAAAAGAAATTAAAAAGAAATATATTTTTATTATAAGATTTATAAAACCGAAATAATAAAGATATAGTAATAAAATCTAATATAGTACTTATATTAGAATTTATAAAACCGAATATAATTTGCTTTATTTACTAAAAAAAGAATTATTATATTACTATTTGCCCTAATTAAAGAAAACTAATTTATTATAACTATAATAAGTCTAGCTATAAAGTATATAAATATCTAGAACTAAAGAAGCCAGGAAATAAATATATCTTATAATAATTATATTTATTTATATTATAGAAAATAAGGCCTCTAAAATAAAAATAATAATTAAAATTATTATTAAAATAAGAAAAAATAAGTAAAAAGTTAGAATATTAGTAAATTCGGGTATAAAAGCTAATTATATAAAAAAGAAATTAGTTTTAGATATAAGTATTTTATTAATATTAAAAATAACTTTCTTATTTTTATTAGAAAAAAAATCTATTTATATAAAAATTATATTAGAATTATTATTAAGAATATACTAGAGAACTAAAAAGAAGTTAATATATATTTTATATTATATAATTTTAATTTAAATTATATTAATATAATACTTGGATTTCTATAGCTTTATTAAGTTAATTTCCTAATTTTCTTTAAAGAAATAATATAAAAATACTAGATTTAAATATAAAAAATTAAAGTTCTAAATATTAGGAAGTTTACTAAAATAATAAAATATAAGATATATGTTTTTCTATTAATTATTTATTTTATAATAAATAAATAAAGAAATATTATTATTACTATTAATAAAATAATTATATTTCCCAAGAAATATTAGAATCTTTTTCAAGTATTTTTTATAAAGGCTATAAATATATTATTTAACTATTATATAATAAAGTATTATATAAATCTAAAATTAGGGTTCTAATTATTATATAATCCTATATATATTTTATTAAAAAAAGAGCTTAAAGTTCTTTAGAAATATCTTAATACTAGTCTAGAAAAGAAATAGATTCATTATTTTACTAGCCTAGCTAGTACCCTAATTATATTTATTCTAAAGAAAAAAAGCGGCTTATATTTATATATTAATTACTAGAATCTAAATAAAATTATTATTAAGAACTAAATATTATTATTACTTATTAATAAAATAATAGATAAGCTTTATAAAATAAAAATATATATAAAACTAGATTTAAAAAATACTTATTATTAGTTATAAATATAAGAAGATAATAAATAAAAGATAGTATTTCAAATATATTATAGATATTTTAAATACTATATTATATTTTTTAGACTATCTAATATTCTAATAATATTTCAGGTATATATTAATTATATATTAATAGATCTTATAAATATTATTTATATAATCTATCTAAATAATATTTTAATTTATTTAGAGAATCTAGAATAATATATAATAATAATCTAATATATATTCGAGTAATTATAATAATACTAGCTTTTTATAAACTTAATAAAATGCGAATTTAATATAAAGAAAATAAAGTTTCTGGAATTTATAATTAGCCTAGATAATATAGAAATAAAAGCTAGCCGGATTATAGTTATTAGGAAATAGCTAGTCCTAAAAAATAATATTTAAGAAATTTAAATATTTCTAGATTTTATTAACTTTTACTAGAGATTTATCTATAGATATTTTAGAATAATAAAAGAATTAACTAATTTATTAAAAACTAGTAGAAACCCATAATATTATTTTAGCTAGATAAATAAGGCAAATAAGGCTTTTAAGAAACTATAAATTATATTTATAATAGTACTAATTCTTTATTATTTTAATCTAGCCTTAAAGATTTATATAGAAATAAATATTTTAGAATTTATAATTATAAATATAATTTCCTAGCTTTTTAGTAAGAAAATAGAAGCTAGGTAATATTTTATTACTTTCTATTTAAAGAAAATAACCATAATTAAAAATAAATATAAAATATATAATTCTAAACTCTTAGCTATTATTCTAGTATTTTATATCTAGTAATATTACCTAGTATATATCTAGTATATTATTATTATTAAAATAAATTATAATAACTTAAAATACTTTATAACTAAGAGAAAACTAAATAGTTAATAGATAAAATAAGTAAAGAAGCTAGCTATTTTTAACTTTATTTTAAAATACTAGCTAGAATATAGTAATCTCGCTAATAGGCTATTAAGAAAGCTAGATTTTATAATAGATATAAATAAAAATACTTTATTATTTAAATTTTATAATAAGTTATAAAATATAAAATAGAAAGCCCTATAAATAATAATAATAGAATATTATACTATTTCTATAATACTATAATTTAAGGCCTAGAAAAAAGAAAATAGGTATTTCTTAATTAGTAAAATACTAAGAAATTCCGAAAAAGAAGTTTATTTTAGTAATAGAATAATATTAGAAATATTATTACTTGAGTCTATTACTAGTATAGCTAGTTATAAATAATATATATTATAAATTCTAGTTATATAAATAATTAGGTCCAAAATAATATATAAAAAAAATAAAGAAATATTATTTAAATTACTATTATAGTACTAAAAGCTTAATTTATTAGTATAATACTAGTAATATAAATAGTTTTTAAAAAAGACTTTTATTAGAGCTATTAAGATTTAGGAACTTAATATATCTAGGTTATTAAAATATTAGAATATTATTTATATACTAAATAAGCCGGCTTTTAAAAAAAAATTATTATAAGCTAATTATAATAACCTTATTATTAGTATAGCTATTTTTCTAGAAGTTATATATATAGTTACGAGATACGGGATACGAGATATAGGTAATAGGTAATAAGATATAAGTAATAAGATATG